TGGAGATGTGGTCGGGAGAGCGAACATGTGACTATGATCAGCTCAAGGTATTTGGGTGCCCTGTATTTTATCATGTTAGAACACATAAATTAGAACCTCGAGCTAGGAAGGTCATATTTGTTGGATTCAAGCGTGGTGTCAAAGGATACAAGCTTTAGGATCCAGTTAATAAGAAGATTGTGCTGAGTAGAGACGTCACATTCGATGAGGCTTCTATCTTGAAGCTTCCCAGCTCTTATCAGGTGGAGAGCAACCCGAGAGTGAAGATATCACATGTGGTAGAGATTAATGCAGCTCCACATTAATCAGATGGGATCGTATACATTAGAGTGCCAACTGAGATGACGCCAGGCGAGCACGGTGATGATTTAGAGGATACATGTAGAGTTGAGCAGGATCAGGGACCGACGACTCAGGTTCAGGATTCTATTGCAGTTCGGAGACATAGGAGAGACATACGAATGCCAGTTAGGTATACAGACACAGTTGTTGCGTATGCACTTACAGTGGAGAGTATTGATGAGATGGTTCTTACGACATTCAGAGAGGTCGAGCAGAGTTTAGAGGTTGATCTGTGGCAGGTTGCTATGCAGGAGAAGATGGAGTCTCTTCATAGGAACGACACATAGGAGTTTGTCGAGCTTCCAAAGGGACGGAAGGCTATTAGTTGAAAGTGGGTGTATACAAAGAAGGAGGGCATTAAAGGCACTCCCGTGAGGTTCAAAGATATGTTGGTTGCAAAGGGCTATGCACAGGAGGAAGGTATTGATTATAATAAGGTTTTCTCTCCGGTGGTGAAGCATTATTCAATTCGGATTTTGCTAGCTTTGGTGGCACAGTATGGTTTAGAATTAGATCAATTGGATGTGAAAACAATATTTCTTCATGGTGATATTGATGAGGAAATCTATATGACTCAGCTATTAGGATTCCGAGCTGCATGGAAGGATAAATTGGTTTGTAGATTGAAGAAATCGCTATACGGTTTAAAGCAATCTCCTCAACAGTGGTATAAGTGATTCGATGGGTTCATGATCGGTTATTCGTACATTTGGAGTCAGTTTGATCCTTGCGTGTACTATCACAAGTTGAATGGAGGTGTGTACATTTACTTATTACTTTATGTTGATGACATGTTAGTTGCTTCTACTTCTAGATCCGTGATAGGTAGGTTAAAGATTCATCTTTCAAACGAGTTCGAGATGAAGGATTTGGTTGAAGAGAAGCGCATTTTTGGGATGGCGATAGGCAGAGATAGAGACAAGGGTAAATTTATTTAACACATGTAGATTATTTGAAGAAGGTTCTATAACGGTTCAATGTGAGCATGGAAACGAAGCTAGTTAGTGTACAATTGGGAGCCCATTTGAAGCTTTCAGCTGACCTTTCACCGAAGACGAGCGCAGTTGGAAGTTTGATGTACGCCATAATTTGTATGAGGCCGGATTTATCACAGACAGTGAGCATGGTTTTGAGATACATGCATGACCCAGTTTCGAATCATTAGGATGTCGTGAGATGGATTTTGAGGTACATTCGAGGTACTCTCAACGTTGGTTTGATTTTTGAGCGGGACACTAGCGGTGGGCAGCTATGTATTGGATACGTAGATTCGGATTATGCTGGAGATTTGGATAAATGCCGGTCTACTACGGGATATGTGTTTACTTTGATCCGTACGTCGGTGTGTTAGAGATGCACCTTATAGTCTACGATGGCTTTGTCGATGACGGAGGCAGAGTATATGACGATTACGGAGGCTGTTAAGGAGGCGATTTGGCTTCGATGACTTTTGGAGAATCTTGGTGTTTCGCAGCGATCCGTCATCATTTATTATGATAGCATGAGTGCTATCTATTTGGCGAAGAATCAGGACTTTCATGCGAGGACTGTAGGCGTCTAAAATTGTCTACGAGAGCCCGCACGAAGCTCGAAGCAATGGATGGGCGAGTCAAGGAAATTCACCTAAGCAGCTCGTGCGCGCCGGTCAACGCGCGCACGTCAAGCAGCTCGTGCGCGCCGGTTAACGCGCGTACGTCAAATCATCTCGTGTGCACCGGTCAACGCATGTACGTCAAATCATCTCATGCGCACCGGTCAATGCGCGTACGTCAAATCATCTCGTGCGTGCCGGTCAACGCGCGTATGTTAAATCATCTCGTGCGCGCCGGTCAACGCGCGTACGTCAAATCATCTCGTGCGCGCCGGTCATCTCGTACGCGTCGGTCAAACACGTGCACGTCAACCAGCCCGCGCGCATCGATCAATACGCGTATATTAACCAAAGCGCGTTCGACGGTCGGTCTTGAGGCGTTGCGATAAAAGTCAACAAATCGACCAAACATGCAAAAAGAACAAGTCTCGGAAGAAAGAGAACAGAAAAAAGAAAAAGTCGGTAAAACTACGCGAGCGCAGGACGGAACAAACCGACCCGCGCAAGCGCGGGTCGGGTCAGTCCAACCCGCGCAAGCGCGGGTCGGACCTGTCTAACCCGCGCCGCGCAGTCCTGATCCCGAAACGCGTTTTGACGGTTTTGATGTTGTTTTCACAGGATTTATCTGTTCCAGGGGTTCCTAACTGACTTGATATCATCCCCAAACATGCTTAGGCTGTTGTTGACTGAAGATAGATCCAAATCACTTGTTCTCATCCAGAATAACCGCATCTGGGGCCTATAAATACGAGCCAAAGGCCTCTATTTTCGAGATCTGGAATTTTATCAAGAGGACAAGGTGCTGCTGGATTGAAGAGTGAAGGAGGACGAAATTTCAGCGAAGGTCAACGAGATCCCGGCGAACTTCGGTGCAAAGGAGAAGCCGTTCGAAGGATCCGAAGCCTGTACGTCCGTTCCTCGAGATTAGGCTTGGTCTTAATCTCGAGAGGAGCCCTAATTTTGCTTTGTCGATCTCAGCGCTTCAAACCAGAAAACTTCCTCGGTGAAGGCGAAGCTCTGCCGAATTTTCCTGCAACCGGATCTGATTCGCGGTCGTCCACGGATTAACCCCGGCACCGGCAAAGAACCCACGCAAGCAAGAGCCGATAAACGGATCTTGTGTTTATTTTCAAGAAAGTTGTAATCTTTTATTTTTTGTTATTTGAATTCATTCCGATAAACGGATCTTGTGTTTATTTTCAAGAAAGTTGTAATCTTTTATTTTTTGTTATTTGAATTCATATGTAACGACTAAAGTTTAATGAAATCAATGACGAAGGTAACTTTCAACGAAAACAAGGACGAAACATATCGACGTTCGTTATCACTTCATTCGAGATGTTCTTGAAGATGGGGATGTGAAGCTCATGAAGGTCCACACAAAAGATAATCCAGCGGATATGCTCACAAAGGTGGTTCTGAGCAACAAGTTTGATCATTATAGAAACTTGTTACAAATTCGTGATTGTTGAGGTCATTCGCAGCCATTTGGATAAACTATGGGCGGCTTGATCTCTTGAGAGAAAGGGTACGGCAACCACATTAGTGCAACCGGATTTGGTGAGATGACGCAGTGGTGCTCATGTTTGGTGTCGGCTTAGTTTTGGGAAAACTTCACCGAGGTTGAGAATTGCAGAGAAAAATGGCGAATTATAGGAAAATCGATGTTGGCGATTTGGTTGCAGGCCGGTCGACTGCGAGGACTTTCCCGGTCAACCTGATTCGTGCATGTTACAGGCTGAGTTTTTCAACTCTCTGGCCGGTCGACCACGACGCGGTTTTGGGCCCAATTTGATTTCTTGGTTGGTTTTGGATGCACTGTTTGATATAAATAGAAACACACGTTTTTAGGGTTGGGTGCATAGGATTTTATCAGAGAAAAGAGAGACTTTTGAACACTTTGAGAGGGAGATATTGTGAGAGAGTTGAGAGCTTTAGTTAGGGTTATATTTGAGTGATTTTGTGAGTTGTAACCCGTTGTATTTCTCCTCCATATAGTAAAATCTCTAGGGTTATATTTGAGTGATTTTGTGAGTTGTAACCCGTTGTATTTCTCCTCCATATAGTAAAATCTCCTCATCCTCTCCCCGTGGATTTTGTGAGTTGTAACCCGTTGTATTTCTCCTCCATATAGTAAAATCTCCTCATCCTCTCCCCGTGGACATAGGCAATTGCCGAACCACGTAAATCTCTGTGTTTGGTTTGATTTGTGTACGTATTGTGGTGGATTGTACTCGTGATTTGATTTGGTTTTCTTCTCTCGTGTCTTACAGACTCGTTTGGTGTGCAAGCACGCTTCCGCAAGACGCGCAACATCATCTTCATTCCTTTTTTTTTCACAAAGGTTTGGAAGTAGGAAGAGGGAGAGGATTTTTAAAGATTTTATTTAGAATGAAAATTTTCCATATAATAACAAAACTGATTTTGCTCCTAAATTTGTGTAGATTTTAGCTACTTCCGAGATACTTCTGAGCTGTAAAGGATCGAAAAAATTTCAGAAAGTAAGAATGCCAAGTAGAAGTCACGTCATCATTTAGGAAAGTACCGAAAGTAGCATTTCAAGAGAAACAACACATTTTTTGATCGGAAGTAGCGGAAGTAACCTCTAATTCCTCTAATTCAGCTGCTTCATGACTACTTACATGCAAATAAATAGGCCTTTTATTCTTAGCAACGGTTATCAAGCCTGTGCCTGACAAATTTAGCATAGACGCAGGTTATCTACGTGTATTTCTCAGTTCACTACCATATCTCACATTCTCAGATCAAAAAGAACAAATTGTTAATTTTTCTAGCCACACGGAGATAATAATAAATCATATTCATCAAGAAAAAATTGAAATAATGCTCACCGAACCAAGTGTCCAGTAATATCCTCAGGTGAATGATCAAATGGATACAAATCATGTTTTCATTCCGAACGATAAATTAGAATTTTTCTGATTGCTATAAACGCTTTCGAGAATCGCATCTTTCTTAACCTGTACACAGAAAATTCCTACATTGAGCTGATTAAGGATAGCAACATAAGAATATTGAAGTTTTTACCAACATCACTGAATATCATTTTAAGTTTCAACACATCATGTACGTAGGAAAGAACAACACAAAGCCAAAGAACACAACATTTTTGTTTCCTCTTAGAGAGGGCCACAATTGTAGCGGGTGTGGCTGAGAGACATGCCACCAAAAAAAGTAACCAAGATGACAATACACAAAAATCTCTTACCCCAAGAGGAGGTAGCTACGATCGAGCCTACAATATACGACTGAATCGACAACCTCAATACCCTAAGCCTTCTTTCCTTCACGTAGCTTTTAAGTGCGACTTCAGATCTCTTCTTGAACTCATCGTCATCAATTTCGTTCTTCGAACCTAATTGTAGCTCACGAGACAAGCATCTCCCTAGCACGATCGCATCCTCAAGGCCAGAAGAACCACCTTGAGCAAGAAATGGACCCATCACGTGCATTGCGTCACCGGCAACTGTCATTGTGCCTCTATAAAGGTTTTGCAAAAGAAAGTTCCAGGGAGCTCGGTGTCTGATGTGTGTAAAGCTTAGTGAATCAAGATCGCAATCTTTCACCATTTCAATCACTTTTGTAGGGAACTCCTTTAGAAGCTCTAGACTGAGGTCCCGGATGTTTTCAGGAATCTTTTCAACTTCTGAATCTGCCATAATTCATAAATCTGTTTCAGATACATATATCATGAATAACAAGGGTGCAGAATGGTATACTATAAAATAAATGAACAATACTATATCGATATGACATGAGAAAATACATCAATAAGGTGATCCTCAACTTCTTATATTGAAACAGAGATGGACAATTGATGGATACATGTTGGACATATCTTTTACATATCATAAAATTCAGAAGAATAATTTTTATATGTGACACATAGAAAATACCGTCTTTTGGCATTAAGAGACAGATGCCATAATGAGCATGAACCAATAGCATAACATCTCTTCTCTGTCTATATGAATTCTCTCGGCATGAAACAGAATTTTTTTTCATATTTACTATGATTTCGATCATGCAAGATATTGTATGTTTATATAAGCTGAGAACTTAAAGCTTCTGGCATCTACTGAGCAAGATAATGAAAATTACCTCCTCAAAATAAAATATACTAACAGTGAAAAATACTAGACAAACTACTCGAAGAAAACTCACAAACCAATCAGTAATAAATGTTGGAAATCCTGTCCTGTGGTCTCATTGTAATGTAGTCCACTATATGTGAGATTTCTTATTTTTAACTGAATAATTAGGCCTGTACTGAGTTAATCTGTAATTTTGATATCATTCTATCAGCTTCCAGCAGTGGATGATGTTTCTGTTTGTTACTTGTTTTCAATTTTCTTGGATCTTACGGATTATAAGCGGCATCATTCTTTTTCTTACTCTGATATATCGTATGTCCTCAAGAAGTACAACATACTGCATACACGCGTGTGTAATAATAACAAATCCATATATCTCATATGTTAATCCGCTATTTTTGGACCGATTAACATAGAAATAATTGAAAATGGTAAAATCTTGAAAGAGGATCCATTGAGGTAGCACTACTACTTTAAACCAGGTCATGAACATGTTGGTAAGTGATTAAGTTCTTTTCGAGAATCACAGTATTTGAAAGAATTCATCTTTTATAGCATCACCTGTAGAGTGGTCTCTCCAAGCAACGAACCAAAAAACCAACTTGTCATCAATAGGAATTCTCCCAAATATAAGTTGATCTCCAATAAGCCGAAAACCAGTGTTGCCGTATATGTGGCCATTTGGATAATTTGTTAAACCTCGTACTGCATTCATTTGGAAGAGCCTTGGGGCCTCGAGACCTAGTGATTTCGCGACCACTGAATTTGATCCATCACAACCAATGAGGACCTGAAATTGCCAAGAAAAAAAAATGAGCAACAAAAAGCAAAAGTTTAGAGCTAAGGGAAATGGTGTGGAAAATAAATTTTCATTGATTTTTACATCGTCCTGAAAGGCCAGTTTCTCTTGCACAGAAGGAGAAAAGCCCAAGAACTCTATGCAACTAAGCTGTCAAAAAATTGAACATATTGAGTTGATATATGATTGTTTGCGATCAATGATTATGGCCAACTAATTCCATTGGTTTTCCTTTCCTTTATCTTTCTAATATATATTATGTGATCTAATATCGAGAAAGGAAACTTCATGTTAGTCTATTTTCACCAAATTGCCTTAGCTTTGATGTTTGTTCCATCGTCAAGATGTACAACGGGAAAAGATGTCAGCGGATCTCTCCCAACAGCTACAACTTGGCATCCAAAACGAACTGATTTGGCTTTGGCTGGCAAGCCATTAGCAATGGCTTCGACAAGATCACTCCTTTTCAAGCATCGGAGAGCTTCATTCCTAACGAAACAATAAAGAAGTTTTAATTACCTTAGCAACGGGAAAAGAAGTTTCATTGAATGCTTGACAACAGTTTACCCCATATACCTGCACGGTGTTACTCGTATCCTGGACCGGTTAATTAATCCGTCGTGCACCCTGGATATGATTAAAGATTAAGAAACAAATTAATTACTTCATATACATGTTTTTAATTCTAAATCAAGCATTCAACGAAACATGTCACTGAAGCGCATAGAACGCATACTCTGAGATAGGTATTGATTTCATTTGAAGCTGCGTGCTGACGCCAAGTTGGTCAAGAGCACGCCAGCCATTGATGAAGACACCAATCCCCGACCCGGCAGATCTTAGGCTGTCAGATTTTTCCAACACAAGGGATTGCACTCCCTTCCTGTATTTGCATTGAGATCACATCAGGTGTCTAAAAAATATATTTAAGAGTCTGTTTTAATGTTGTGACAGATACGGGTATTTTTGCCTTTTTCGGATACGCAAAGGCATGTAACTCGTTAGACTTGATGGTGTTACTCTGGAGATATAATATTTTAAACTTTTTAAAATCCAAGAGGACTGGTGATATGTAAGTCTTTTGTTCAGCTGGGAGGAAAAAAGAGACAGATCAAACACAGAAGAAGGCAAACACTATGGAAGTAAAAATAGACCCAAATTAGTTAGCAGGTGAAGATTATTAACTTTCCTGGTGATCAAGATTCTGATTCTGGACAAAGTGTTTTGATTCTAAAAAGAATCAGATTGCGTAAGCTTCCATAGGCCATGCCAAGTTTATTGTTCAGAAACCAAAAGAGGGAAATTTTATTCTGAAGATTATATATCAAGATTGCATACAGTATTTTGAAATTCAATTGTTAATAAAACCTGTGAAGAGCAAGAGCAGTGGCGAGTCCAACAATCCCACCACCCACAATCACAATATCATAACGTTCTTCTGATCCCATCTCTCTCTCTCTCTCTCTCTCTCTCTCTCTGCAGATAGCTCCTATTCTATTTATTACAAAGAACAATACACAAATTTCTTTGTGCTTATCTCAAATGGTATTATAATAGAAATATATTTTGTCCATTCATATGAACATATAAATTTTATATGATGTCAGCAATGCTACTCATCACATGCTTGCGTTTCAAGTTAACTGCATGTGATATTCAAAGTATTTTTTTTCGTTATAATATGCTCTTTGAATATTCTTGTGCAAATATCATTCAAAGTAACCACTGTGTTATTTTACATGATCGAACGATAAGTGCTGAACTAAGCCTCTAAACACGATAAGCAGTTCTGTAAGAATTTTGTCGTGGATTTCATTTATGTAGGACGATGGAGAATACTTGCAATGGTCATATTTAATAGCCAAATGAATCTAAAAATTCAAGCCCCGATAGCGAACCCTTAGTTTAACAGTGAAATCTCCACATACATGTTTGTAAATATCGTACTTAGCAACACAGCAGAGTAAATACTTCTGCAAATCAATGAAAGAAAGAGACGAGAAAAAGAGAAAAACAATCACAGGAACAAAAGGTACAATGAGGTCTGGCAATCAATGCGATTACCTTCATCCTTGGAGTATAACAAGTCACACTTTGCAAATTCCTTCATCGAAACTTAACAATAACAACATAAAAACATTTGAAAAAATTTACCAAGATACCTGAATATAGATATTTCATTTCTGATATATCTATATACATCAGGGGAAAGATTTTTCATTTCTGATATATCTAAAAACTCAGCCAGATAAGCAGGCCACTGTTTTCTTCTTAAAGTAAACCCCACCGAAAAATGCAAATAAAATGGCAATACACACAATTCTCTTAGCCCAAGAAGAGGATTCTATCATCAAACCTACAATGTATGTCTGAATTGATAACCTCATCACCCTAAATATATAAGCCTTCTTTCCTTCACATAGTTTCTGAGTGCAACTTCAGCGCTCTTCTTGAAATCATTGCCGTCAATATCAGGATTCAAGGCTAATTGTAGCTCCTCAAATCCTAAATTTTCTTGCAAATTCGTCCCTCTTGTGAGGTGATTATTTATGAGAGTTTAACTTCTGTTGACTTTAACCAAATTAATTAGATGGTTCTTCCATTATGCCCCCACTCATAATTAACCCTATTATTTAAAATCTTACAAACCCATTCCATAATGATAAAAATATAGATATTTGAGGGATAAATAACCAAATATTGAGAGGTAATGGACTATTTGACAATGAAAGTGTAGGATCTGAAATAGATACACTAGAACACTAGAAGGGGGTGAATAGTATTCTTTTAAAATATATGCAAAGTAGATTATAAATTACAAAGAAAAATGGCAATCTCAGAAATTCACAATCACAAACACAAAGTTTTATACTGGTTCCACCAACCCGGTGTACATCCAGTCCCCAAGCAAATCTCGCTTGAGAGTTTCCACTATGATTTTGAATAAACTTACAAAATCAAAAACAAACCTGACCAATTTGCAAGTCCCTGCAAATTGCAACACCAATTGACAAGACCATGCCAATTGCCACCCAATCTCTAAACCAAGAGATCAACCCTCTCAAACCCGAGAGAAATCCTTTTTGAAGCAAGAAAACAATTGATCCTATAAGCCTTGAATGTGTAGTGAAGTGCAGCAGTGGCTTAGGATTCTTTTAATCTCTGTAAATTGCCTTAACAATAGGTTTTTGAATAATGTACAGAGGCAATTTCAGAAACTTCTCTTTTTCTTAAAATCTGAATATTTTTCACTTGAAAAATTGCACAAAGATCAAAGCTTATGGGTATGTAAGTCTCTGCAATTTTTCTGAACAAATAACTTATTTATAGCCCTTGAAAAGATAATTTTTTAAACTTTAAAAACGTTTAAAAACGGCTATAAACTGTCAGATATTCAAACTTTGAAAACTGGAAAAACTGTATCTGTAGTCGACTACTGTTGACATTAGTCGACTACACTGAGTTCAAACAGACTCTGTGTTTTCAGAAAATTTCTCAGTAGTCGACTACAATGCTCATTAGTCGACTACACTGTATTTTGACAGAAACTGATAAAATAAAATTTGAGTTCAGTAGTCGACTACTGTTGACATTAGTCGACTATACTGTAAAAACACAGAAACTTATGTTTCTGTCAAACACTTAAGTAGTCGACTATAATGTAAATTAGTCGACTATACTGTAAAATAACAGAAACATATATTTAAGTTTTATACACGAGTAGTCGACTACTATTCTAATTAGTCGACTACTAAGAGTAAAAATTATGAAATAAAAAGTTTTTATATTCAAGTTTTAACTATAATTCTAATGGTTAACATAGGGGATTTCTATAGTTAACCAACACACTAAGCCTGTGTTAGTGTATTCTAAAATTGTGTGTGTGCGTGTGTGTGATCAAGGCTTGTACAATTATTCTAAGTAAAGAAAATGTAAAATACATTATCTCTTTTGCTCTTCATTTTCTTCACTTCAAAATGCCTTATAATCAACTTGCACTTGTACATATTCTGATATTGAAATCTGCATATAAAAGTTAGTGCACACACTGTATAAATTGTTATCATCAAAACACTATCATGGAGATATGATATTCAACATTCTCCCCATTTTTGATGATAACAAATAATTTATGCATCAGATTAAAACTTAAAATAATCATACTTACTCCCCTTGCATATAATACTTACTCCCCCTGCATATATGCAAATTTGAGTCTATAACAGTACATACATAACTAAACTATAACAGTATAACAGTACATACATAACTAAACTATAACAGTACATAACAAAACATAACTATTTCTCCCCCTTTGTTATCAACAAAAAGAGGAAGCTAAACATGACATTATTTCTTCAACATGAGCTAAAACTTCAAACAAATCATCAAGGTTATGAACATAGTCTATAACTTCACCCATCCAAATAGGTAGGCAAAGACTTGTCATAAAGATCAAAAGTTCCATAATGTTCATCACCATGATCTGTTTAAAATATGTAGCACATGCATTATCTAACCAAACATTATCATAGATAATAAAAATACATAATTAACATAAGTGACATAGTAGCAACATAAGAAACATATTACATAAGTCCTATCAACATACAACCACATAGGGGGAGTGAATAGTGTTCTTTTAAAATTAATGCAAAGTATATTATAAATTGCAAAGAAAAATGACAATCTCAGAAATTCACAATCACAAACACAAGGATTTTATACTGGTTCCACCAATCCGGTGTACATCCAGTCCCCAAGCAAATCCCGCTTGAGAGTTTCCACTATGATTTTGAATAAACTTACAAAATCAAACGCAAACCTGACCAATTTGCAAGTCCCTGCAAATTGCAACACCAATTGACAAACACCTTGCCAATTTAAACACCAATCTCTAAACCAAGAGATCAACCCTCTCAAACCCGAGAGAAATCCTTGTTGAAGCAAAGAACACAATGATCCTATAAGCCTTGAATGTGTAATAATGTGCAGCAGTGGCTTAGGATTCTTTTAATCTCTGTAAATTGCCTTAACAATAGGTTTTTGAATAATGTACAGAGGCAATTTCAGAAACTTCTCTTTTTCTTAAAATCTGAATATTTTTCACTTGAAAAATTGCACAAAGATCAAAGCTTATGGGTATGTAAGTCTCTGCAATTTTTCTGAACAAATAACCTATTTATAGCCCTTGAAAAGATAATTTTTTAAACTTTAAAAACGTTTAAAAACGGCTATAAACTGTCAGATATTCAAACTTTGAAAACTAGAAAAACTGTATCTGTAGTCGACTACTGTTGACATTAGTCGACTACACTGAGTTCAAACAGACTCTGTGTTTTCGGAAAATTTTCTCAGTAGTCGACTACAAAGCCCATTAGTCGACTACACTGTATTTTGACAGAAACTGATAAAATGAAATTTGAGTTCAGTAGTCGACTATAATGATGATTAGTCGACTATACTGTAAAATAACATAAACTTATGTTTCTGTCAAACACCTGAGTAGTCGACTATAATCACTATTAGTCGACTATACTGTAAATTGATAGAAACATGTATTTGAGTTTTATACATGAGTAGTCGACTACTATTCTAATTAGTCGACTACTAAGAGTAAAAATTCTGCTATAAAGAGTTTTTATAATCAAGTTTTAACTATAATTCTAATGGTTAACATAGGGGATTTCTATAGTTAACCAACACACTAAGCCTGTGTTAGTGTGTTCTAAAATTGTGTGTGTGCGTGTGTGTGATCAAGGCTTGTACAATTATTCTAAGTAAAGAAAATGTAAAATACATTATCTCTTTTGTTCTTCATTTTCTTCACTTCAAAATGCCTTGTAATCAACTTGCACTTGTACATATTCTGATATTGAAATCTGCATATAAAAGTTAGTGCATACACTGTATAAATTGTTATCATCAAAACACTATCATGGAGATATGATATTCAACAGAAAGAAGTGTAAGGGACTAATATGCAATTCCCCAAAAAAATCAAGCGTGTAAGTTGATACTTTTTGGTAGTTTTGAGTTATTGATAAAGAATTGGATTCTTGATAAAGAATTGGATTCTTGATAAAGAATTGGGTACTAATTTTGGATTCCTCTCTTTTTTTATTTTTGGATTTGGATCCTCTTCAATTAGGTGGTAATTGGAGAGGATCCAATTCCTCTAATCTCCATCCTTCATTACACTTTGAAGGCATTTTTCCTCGAAAATCATTGTTGACAATGGTTGGAGACTTGGTTATGCTATAGGTATACTAAAAGTTATTAGAGATAAATAGCGCTAAGCTACACTTCATCTCCAATAACTATCATCATATAATATAGAATAATGGATTTGACAAACAACATTATTTGGCCAATTTGGTAAGAGTTTTGTCATGGATGTAAAGGATCTCTGGTTTTATTCTGGACAACACTTTTTTCCCAATTTCTTTTCTTTTTTGTACTTATAAATTCAAAGTTTTACCTCATTTATTTAGAAACCCACTTGTTTAAAGTTTTTTCAATTTTTGTTCTTGATAATAAACCCAAACTGTATCCCATTCATTTTTAAAGCCACATACTTTAACAAAAGTTTTTTTTTTTCATATTAGTCACACTACACCTTTCATATTTTGAAATGAATCCCCAAAATCATGACACTCCTATATGTCCAGTAACTTTTAAGTTACTCAGAAATTGGTCCCTCAAATCATTAAAATTAGATCCTTAATTCTCAAGTTATTATTATCTCTTTTTAAAGAAAATTATTAAGTTATTTTAAAATTAATCTTTTCAATCAAGTGTAAAAGAAACAACTAGAGAGATTAATTAGTTACTAGAATTAGAAGACATAATAACAAAATTCAATGATTTGAGAGACAAATTTCAAAATAACTTCAGAATTTGGGAACCCAATAGCGATTTCAATGATTTGATGGACTAATCTCAAAATATGAGAGAGGTTAATATTGAAAAACACTTATAAAAAGCTTTCTTATGCTACAGACCCAAAGTTTTATCCCCTTATTTTATCTATAATCCTAAAACTGTATCCCATTTACTTTTAAACCTACCCAATTCTTCCAGAAAGATCTTTTGGCTACTAAATTAAATGTTTTACTCACATCTACTTTGAAACCCACTTTTTTTTTATTTTTCATAATGAAGCCACTGCGAGTTGAACACAAGACTGCGAGAGTCATATTGGAATTTCTTAACCATCTGATTCACCCACGGTTCCATGAAACCCATCTATTTTGAAAATCATTTTTAGACCAGAATACTTCACTTGAATTATTTTTAAACACAGTTTGGCATGTGGTAGAAGATGATATATCTTTCTGCAACTTGTTATATTTTTTTTCTAAGTAATTAGATGTATGATATATGTTTTTAACTATTATATTTTGACTTTTGTCACTGGTATCGTGGCATCGCAAACTATAGATATGTTCTTCCTAAATCATCTTAGATCCAACACAGTCAAAATACTTAATTTAAAACTACCACTTTATATTTTGCTTGTTTCATGCCGTGTAAGTTGCTATACTTTTTTAACTTGCTATATTTTTGTAAAGTTATTGGGTATATAATGTATTTTTAATCCAAAATGCTTAAAGTTCTTTTTTTTTATTTTTATTTTTTTGACTTTTCTCACGAGAGGCCGCAGCATCGCGAGGATCAAGTACAAATACACTTGAGAGAACAGTTGCAATGGTCATTTAATAGTTAAATGAATCTAAAAGTTCCAGCCATCACATAAAACCCTGGATTTAACAGGGAAATCTCTACATTAAAGTAAATATATGTACATCCCAGTGAATCACATCTCAGCCATAACAGTCTTGCTAGGAATCTTTAAATGTCAAACTTAAATGTCTTAAAGCACATTCAACAGCTTGGCCAATCATACACTATTTTTGAAGCAATCCCCGAAATCTTTCAACTAGTGTCTTTGTTTCTTCCAGGTTATTTTCTCGAAAAAGCTTGCTCGGGTAACATTTTCACATCGAACCTGTAACTGAATTGGGAAGACAAACCTCTAGAGATTGAAAACGTTTCATCTCCATTTCTCGAGCTCTTTTGAAGTTGCTTTGATCAGCTTTTTGGTATTCATGATGAGGTCATCCAGCAATGCGTCAATGCGGTCCCTGAAAATTTGAGGAAAAAAAACAGAAGAATGTAAACTGAGATGAAAGTGCACAGCCTTTGCTGCTAAATGTAATGGCTTGAATATCATAAATATAAAGGACATACTTAATCCTGATTCGTATAAACTAAACTTCATTACCAGCAGATTTTATAATACTAGTGTGTCATACGTGCATTGTACGCGATGCATGATGCAGTTATAGATTAACATATATTATTAAATTAGTTTTTAATGTCAACTTTATAATTTGAGTGTTGCTACAGAGACCCAAAAAAGGGGACAAGTAGGGGGATAGGTGAGGTGTCAACTTCACCTGTCCCATTTTGTTGGGTCCTTTCAGCATTTTTCTAATAATTTAAACAATAAGTTTGAGGGAATTGTCTCAAAACGGGCAAAACTTTAGGGGTTCATCAAATATATCATCTGCATAGGTTTTCATATAAAGGAAATGCCTACCAAAAAGATTAAATATCCTTATGGTCTAACCTCTGCAGGTTTTATGTAGTAGTTTGTTTTTCATTATAAATTTAAGGATATTTTAATGTTATCTAATTTCTAATTTTGTTGAACTAAGTACATTATCATTTTTATTTATCCTTCAATATCTTTTATTTAAACTTTTCAATTAACTCTTCATCACTTAAAATAATATGATTATCCATCTTGCTATAATTTTTCCTGTAAGGTGTTTCTTAGTGCTCATTTTCTCCTTTCATGGGAGCCCAAAACAAAATAGGCAACTACTGCATTAGCAAACTGTACATAACAAGTACAACATAGGGTAGTTTTATGATATAACTACAAGCAAGTCCACCATTCTTCTAAACAAAGAACATGAAGAAATTGTTGGTCAAACATCTCTCATATTTAACTTAATCAAGATGAAGATTGTTTCTTTTTACAAGCATAAAAAGGCATTTGCATAGTATAATCTTGGATAATTAGTTTCTCCAAAACATTACCCTTCGTCATGTCATAGCACGTACATAACTATATTTTCGAGTTGAATACTAATTATGTAGAACAAAATTAAGAATAAATGCTTAATCCAAAATACAATTTCATGGGAAATGCTTAATCCAAAATATAATTTCATGGGACCCAAATGTTCTCACAAGATAACTAACATGATGATTATTGCTTAACCAAAAACATACTTTCATGGGAACCTAATTGTCTGGAACCACAAAAACTTTAGTACTTATAGTTATTGGGAATTATCAAAACTGAGGGTAAAAAGGAAATCATAAGTTTAACATAGTAATCCTCTTTTATAATAGTACTAGTAAATAGTGCACGCGCTTTGCACGAGAGCATACTTGTTTAGTTTTATGTTTTTCAAAAAAAAATTGTTGGCTGCAATATAATGAAATGACTTGTATAGCAATAAAAATTATGAACAATTGTATGATAAAACTATGTATAAAGGACTACATGATTAATTATTATAGTTTGGATAATTGTTATAATTTATTCATAATTTATTAAAATAATTATAATATATTAAATAATTTCTTCTCTTTTAAATATAATAATATTATACATAGCATAATTATAATACTATTAGTAACTACATATTAATTTAATAATTATTTTATTACACTGCAGTAAATAATTTAGTAAATTGTATAATTATTAGATTACATTGTAATTTATTAATTAAAGAAATGCTATTAAGATCATTATACTATTAATACTATTACAATTACAATAAATACAAATTGTTTTTCATACTATTATCATACTTTTAAAAGGCTATAAGATGAAAGGTAATAGGTAGTCCTCCCTAAGAGATGAAACCTAAAGGCACAAGGCATAAACCTAATGAATCTTTATTATTTTTAATTTTTCTGGAATTTTATTATGTGCATATAAATTAGGGATAAATTTCAAATGTTCTATTAGATAACATAATTAAATAATAAAATAATAGTGTGACCAAATATTTTGAAAAATTGAGGAAATGCATAATTAATAAGAGGTTATATATAATTAGTGAATGATTAATTACAACTAATGACATAATTGAGAATTATCAAACTTAAAGGGATAAAAATAGAAATCAAAAGTTTTGACAAGGCAATCCTATTTTATATGTAGTATAGATATATAGACAGATTTTTGTTTTTATTTAAAGAAAGGGTGTCTGAGACTACACGTGTGAAAATGATGTTCATGAGGTGACGGGTCATTCGATTATTTCTAAATCCTTCCTATACATACCAAGTTACCTTATTTTCTGCCTTCGAAATAACGCAAGATTGTTTAAGATGATTATATCTGCTTTGCTTTGACTCTAGCATCTAGTAGTCTGTGAAGTCATCATAATTAATTGAAATATTGAGAAGTTTCATTTCATAGCTTTAAAGACATAATTTTTTTTCTTCCTTGCACTGAATCATACACTGATTGGCTCCAGGACAACATTTTGAGAATAGAAAAGGCTGATTTTGGATGGGTTTTCTCAGCTATTAAGAAACTCAAACCAACTTAGCATATATATCATACCAAAGTAGTCTGCCAAAACTAAAGCTTAGAAGCATATCATACCAAAAGGAGTAATGTTCTATACCGCCTTAGAACCTTTGTTTATTTGTCTGTGTTCTTGAACTAATATATAGCAGAAAGGGTGATTTATATGCTAGATTTGCTTATTTAGTGAGAATTGCTTTATTGGACAATGAAGATAAGGCTTAATTGCACTTAAATACACTATAGCTATGTTACCCGGGTACTTCATTATTGAAGCCGTACCCGTACCGGACACGTACCCGATACTTTCCCGTACCCAAACTTCATGGACACTTCTTGAATATATGCATGCATTTATTATAACATGTACTCAATTAGACGATATATGTGTTAATTTAAAACATTTGCCAAAGACTTCCTGGATGTAGAGCTTACACTTCACATCCGTCTTTTGAAACTAATGGGATACGGGTTGGGTTCGTTTCAGTCCATACCCAAGTTCAAAACTATATAGTTAATGGGTCGTTTAGTTGTCTAGTAAAAAAATGAGTAGTTTACAATTCACGATAATCAATATGATAAAATAAACTCAAAAATGTGATATATATATATATATATATATATATGTAGTCGTGTCCTCGTACCCAATATTTTACAGTTTTGATGTGTCCCCTACCCGTACCCGCACCCGCACCCGTACCAGTACCCGTGCCTGTTTCCATGCAACTTAGCCCTATAGTTTCAACTAGGTTGTAGTTTTGCACTTATACATCCTCACTTGTTTTTGGCATAACTTATATACCCTAAAATTTATAAAACTTACACTTATACACCCTCTTTTTTTTTTGGCAGCACTTATATACCCTAAAGTTTTTAAAACTTGTAGTTAAATACGCTATACCATTGAGTCCATTAAAGCAAGCAATTCCAAATCTAGTAGCGATTAGGTTGTATTGTTGAATGAACAAGAAGAAAAAATTTACCAAATAATTTTAGCTTAAATGTGATGGATGGCAGTTCTATGGATCTTAAAGTAAAAGCAAAAGCTGATATGTAAATTAAAAAAAAACCTTCCAAGTAAGGCTGCAATCTTATAGTTATCAAAATACAATCTGTATATTACTTAAGAAGCAAAACACATGCAACCAGATAAGCCAAGGTAATCTGAAGGCGGTATGCATTGAGCAAAGCCATTTTCAAACAAGTAGGGCAACAGAGTCTTTTAGGGGCTGTTTGGTTGGATGGAAATAAAGGTGCAATTTATAAATTTAAATAGAGCAACTGGATTTGTAAATACATTGTTTGGTTTACAATTTTGTAATTAGGATAGGTAAATGGACTTGCATTTTGTAGGAAAAACTAGCAACAAATGCTACGGCCAATATGGTGGGAGGAAAAGCAGTAAGCTTAAAAAAAGAATTGAAAGATAAAAATAGTTCCAAAAAAATCTTTTTCAATCCAAAGATAAAAACAATCTACACCGAAGCTTCCTTATATGAGAAAATTCTATAGTTTTCCCTAATTGTTTTTCAAACAATCACTAAATTTGCATTTGAAAACATATTTCCTACAATATTATTACAAATATCCAAGCAACGAATTTGCAGTTGATTTCGTGCAATATAATTACAGATATCCAAATAACGAATTTGCAGTTGATTTACTGCAACAAATGTTGCATGCAATATTTGTTGCTGCAACATTTGCTGCAATTTATTTTTGCAACACACCAAACAGCCCCTTATTGAAGAGGTCAAGAGCATCTCCGGCATATAAAAGATACTTCCATTCCCATTTGCAACCGAGAAAATAATGCAAATAAACTGATGAAGGCTTCTAAAATTTGAAGATGAACATGCAGCATGAAGTCCTAAATATAGGAGTTCCAACAAGAAGAAAGACATTAGTGAATACTGTCGACTCATGTTAAATTTCTTCATATGTTTCATAGGTTCTCAAGTATTGATTATTTCACAGGCATTGTGAAACCAATAGTGAACGGATGAGTTTGAATTTCTAGTTCTCTTCTCCCCCTCTCATGATTCCTTGAGATACCTTCCAGTATTCAGCTTAGTCAACTATCAGCACCTTTTTTTTTTTGTTCTGAGGCATAGTATAACTGAAGAACAAATTCTTCAAAAGCATGAATCTTGACTATAAATCACAGAACAGACGTCAAACTATTAATAGCTTAAACTTCCCATAGGAAAGAGTTATTAAACTAGAAAAAACTATAACCATATATAAGTTCTTAACCTGTTTCTAATCAAACCCCTATTCTAAATATGAGTTAACAATGCTCACAACTTCAACTTATTCTAGATAGAGAAAACAGTGAGGTATTTGCTTGATTTCAGTTTGATATCAGTGCTTCATAGATCTCTAGTGTGATACCAGAATGATGTCACATCATTTGTCGGCATCCTTGCTCTCTACACAAAGAAATCGTATAAATCTTTGCTGAAATTTTGTTCAGTAACATGTAAACAGATCACTTTGCACAAAAATTAAGGTTCTTCTACAAGGTAAACTGGAACTACGATCGCAGAATATATTCTTTCTTCAGAAAGAGGTAAAATAGTTGAACGGTAAAGGAGATATCATTGCATAACTATCCTATAAGCTTAGGCAAAACTGCACTTAACTACCCTATTGTTTCCCGAAAAAGCACTTTCATACCCCAAGTTTTAGAACGAAGCAAAATTATACCCTTAGTTGTTCACAGTGTGAATTTGCTTAACCGTGTTAAATTTTACCCGAAAAGACGATCATATGTGTCTTCCTCAATAACCCTCCACAATAAAAAAATCCCAAATTTTACTGTTACCTATAAAATCATCATATCCTCTCTCCCCCAAATCTAAAATTAAAATCAAGTCTAAGCACACCAAATAGCAATCAAGTCTCTGAAATTAAATATCTAGCTGGCTATTGTAGGCGTCAAAAAATTTTGTCTATAAGTTCCCGCACGCAGCTCGAGACAGAGAGAAGACGATGAACATCATTATCCGAGTCAAAAAAGATTATTTGACGTCAACAAGCGCATGAAGCGAATCGACGAAGCGTACGAATTAACGGAACGACAAAATACGTAAAATAGCGGAACAAGACAAGTCCGGAAAAGTCAGAAGGTTCAAGACGTCTTGGAATGACTCGCATGTGCGAGTCACCCTAAGTTGACTCGCATGTGCGAGTCACCCTAAGTTGACTTGCATGTGCGGGTCACCTTAGGCATCTTAAGGTGACGCGCAAACCAGCGGGCCACATTGACGTGACTCGCACCCGAAACCTCCAAAACGCGTTTTAACTGTTTTTTTTTTTTTTTTTGGATTTGTTCGTTCCAAAGCCTCCTAACTGTTTGGATATTATCCTTAAACGTGGTTAGGCCGTTGTTAACTGAAGATAATGTCAAATCTTTTGTTCTTATCCAAAAAACGCTGCAATTGAAGCTTATAAATATAAGCCTAGGGGCCCCTATTCACAGGATCTGAGATTCTATAAAAGAAGGCGAGGTGTTGTCGGTTTGGAGAGTGCAATCCACGAATTTCAGAGAAGGGTTAGCAAATCTTGGCGAATTCCAGCATAAATGAGTTGTTCGAAAGATCTGAGGTTCGTGTCAGCATACCTTGAGATCAAACTTGGTTTTGATCTCAAGAAGAGTCGTAATCTCGCTTGGTCGAGATTATCACTTCTGCGATTGTTTCCTTTGTGAAACAAGAGCATCAAACTTTCATTTTGTCAACCGGATCTGATCCGCGACGGTCCACGGATAAACCCAGCACAGGCAAAGATCACACGCAAGCAGCATGCGGATAAACATTTGCTGCGTGTGTTTGAAGAGTTGTATTTTTTTTTTTGTGTAAGTGAGTAGTCTTATAAAAAGACTAACTCTTTTGAATTCATTGTAGTCGATAAACGTGTAATGGATTCGACAAATAAACCAACTGTCGACGCGAACAGCTATATCGAAGAAATCCTTTATCTAACTAAACCTACATTTGCTTAGCACTCTTGACATTAACAAAGCTCCAAGCTTTGGGCATCCAGCATATCATACCAACAACAATTTCACGTCAATTCATTTCCAATCAAACGAAAAATTTTCGGGAAAGAAATAATCAGCCAAGAAAGAAGTAATCAATCACTCACTGAGATGGTAGCCTCCCCTGCCCGTTCCCCGACCCTCGAAAAAGCTTTCCCACATTAGAATACCTCTTGTTCTCATCGTATGCGACTCCCTTCCCCAATCCATAGCCAAACCCAAACCCTAATCCACACCCGGCACCGATCCCAACTCCAATCTGTAGCCCTGGGAATCCCGCTCCCAATCCCGCTCCTGCGCAAGATTTTCCAGAAACAATAAAGAAAAAAAAATATCAAGAACCTAAATAATCAAGCTGCGTTTCTTTGAGGGATAATATTGTACACGCCGAAAGGCCGACACCGAGGCCGACACCGCAAGCCAGCACCGAAACGATACCGGGGCACGAGCTTTCCGAGATCCTTGGACTTTACGTTGGAAGCTTCCAGAGGAGGCCCTTGTCTTCGCCACCGCCGCCGCGGCTCCCGCTCATTATCTCCGCTGTTGGATTTCCCTTTTGGAGGTGGGAAGTTCGAAGTGGATACCTAGTATTCTTTCTGGATACCAACTTTTTTTTGGCTTAATTGCACTTACAGTACCTATAGTTTCCCCCGTGTTTGCACCTATATGTTCTCACTTGTTTTTGTAGGCTTAATACTCAAATTTTTTAAGACTTTCCCTCTTATATATATATTATATATATATATATATATATATATATATATATATATATATATATATATTATATATATATATATATTATATATATATATATATATATATATATATTATATATATATGTATCCTCACTTGTATGGAAGTTCATTACATACCTTAAAGTTTCTAAAAGTTACATTTAGATAGCCAAAAGTCTTTAAATTTGAAACTTGAATACCCTCGGGTTTTTAAAACCTGCACTCTCATGCACGCTCAAGTATGTACAACTTAAGATATTTAAGTGCAAGTTTTAAAAATTTTAAGACATTTAATCGCATGTTTTGAAAACCTTAGGGTACATAAGTGTTGTCAAAGCAAGTGATGGTATATAAGTTCGTTTTTAAAAACTTTAAGATATATAATTATTTCAGAGAACAGTAGAAGATATATAAGTGCAAAATAGGGAAAACTATCGTGTATGTAAGTGCAATTTAAATCTGTCGTTTTTATCTGTACTCTTTGGGGTGTTTGGTTGCACAATTTTATAAAAAAGTTTTCTCAAAATGTCTGACAATGGAAATTCTGTAATTAAAATTTTTTTTTAGATTTCCGTAAACTATGTTTGGTTCAAAAAATTTATAGGAATAGTTTCTGTAAAGTATAAAAAAGTACCAAAATTTACAGAAATCAGTTTTCTCTCAAAATGGGCGGAAATCACCCAGAAATCTGACACCACATAGAAACTTTTCTATAAAGTTGACAATTTTTTATAAATTTAGGGGGTGTTTGGTTCAATTTCTACAAATTATAGAAAATCTTGCTATTTTCTATAGATTTAGGGGGTGTTTGGTTCAATTTCTACAAATTATAGAAAATCTTGCTATTTTCTATAAAGTTATGAGCCATTTTCTTGTTTTGAACCAAACAAGTACAAATTATAGAAAATCTTGCTATTTTCTATAAAGTTATGAGCCATTTTCTTGTTTTGAACCAAACAAGTAAAGTAAAAAAAAACAAAAAAATTTGTACTTTTTTACTTCTCAAAACTCTTCCTATAATTTTTTTAAGAAATACAAGGAAATCATATTTTTGATGAAAAACATTTCCTATAATTTGTAGAAATTAAAGCAAACACCCCTTTGCCTAAGAGTATCTCTTCCTTTTTTAGAGAGGGTCATTAAAAAGTGTGGCTTAACATAAGGGCCCATGTTAATTTAATAGTTAAATTCTAGGGCCTATACTTAAATTCAACTGCTATGACGCTTGACGGCTTGTGCCCAGCTTACTAATTCAAAAATAAAGAAAAATAAACTTTTCCTAGTACTTTATTGATCATATTTTCATTTTTCATCATCCCTTTCCTAAGGAACCTTTAGAGGGTCTTTGAGGAGCTTCTTTCTTTCACAGCCAAAGTTGCTTTTAGCTTTTTCTATAAAACTTTGCTACAGGGACCCAAAATATGGGACCAACAGGAGGGGACATGTGATGTGTTCTCCTCTTATTACATAATGAGCTGGTCATCATTAATGATGTCTAGCTCATTATGCAATAGGAGGGGGACACCTCACATGTCCCCTCTGTTGGTTCCATATTTTGGGTCATTGACGAATTTTTCTTTTCTATATCAGCATGTTTGATGACATCTTAACAAACTAGTTTTAAGATTCATTTGGTAATGTTCGAATTTCACAACTTAAAAAAAAACTAACTTATAAACTCATAAGTTATATTTAACAAAGCAAATAGTTTTTCCGTTCATATAAGTCATCTAATGGACAAAACAAGATAAAAATAGTAAACAATTTACCCAATATTTTCATTATGATTACTTCACTTATGTTTAAATGTTATTTTCTCCGTAATTTGTATGGATAAATCATATTTAAACGCAACAGTTTCTATTTTATATTAATTTTATCGGCTGTGGCTTTTTGGATGCTCCATCCTTTTCCTCAAAAAAGAAAATATTTAAAGGCAACTGATACTATTAAGAACACAAATAAAAAGATATCATGAGTAAAAAATTCAAATTTTCTTTTTAAATCTCAATAAAATTTAACATATTTTTAGAAAAACTTATTTATTTTAATCTTTAGAGAAAATTTTATATTTTAGTCATTGATATCTTCAATAACTGTATTAGTCCCTTAAATCGTATAGCATCTTGCAAAATGACCCCTCTACTAGTTATTTAGTTGAAAAACCCTAACTAAGATTGGGTTAACTCCTAGCACAACATCTGCAATCACTAAGCTCTCTCTCTCTCTCTCTCTCTCTCTCTCTCTCTCTCTCTCTCTCTCATCAACTCATCCATCACATCTAATAAAATATTATTTTCATCCAACAACTCATCCATCACATCCACCACATCTAATAAAATATTATTTTCATCCACAACATCACTCAACTCATCTCATCTCATATTTAAAAATTACTCACATCATCCAATAAGATTGTGACAACTCATCTCATCTCATTAACATTTCATTTCTTTGTTTTCCTCCCAAAAAGCTAGGAAAACAATTTCCTTAAGTGTGGGTCACATCATCCAATAATATAATGACAACTCATCTCATCTCATATATTTTCTTATTTTTAAGAAATAACCAAGCAAAAGAAAACAACCTATTACAAGAAATAGGTTTCTTATAATTTATTTCATTATTTTTTTCGCCAACCAAACAACATCAAAACAAGTTTTCTTAAAAAAATCACTCACATCATCCTATAATAAGGTGACAACTCATCTTCATTTCTTTGATTTCCTTCTTTTTTTTAGCAAACCAAACACTCCCAAAACAATTCTTTGATTTAATAGTTTTCCATTTCTTTGATTTTCAAATTTTTTTAGGCAAACAAACAGGCCCTTATGAGAGAAGAAGAACTCAAGTGGGATCCAGCTTTCTTTAAGTGGGTATTGGGTTTACCCATTAAGAAATGAATTAATGAACATAACAAAGGGGTAAACCTATCACTTTGCCTCCGACCGTTAAGTTTGATGAAATATTCCTCTCAAATCTTATATGTGTTAACTAGAAGGACCATTTTGCAAGACCTCATATGTTTTGAGAGACTAATATGCAATTTCCAAGATGTTAGGGACAGCCATGCAATTATTGAAGATGTTAGGGACTAAAATCTAAAAAAAACATTGATTAAAGTTAATAACTTTTAAGGGCTGTTTGGTTCCCTGTTTTTGAGGGAAAGACTCTTGAAAGCCTACCAAAAGTGTTATTTTTTGAGAGACTTTCAGCCAAAATCGTCTCTAAAAAAAGATTTTGGTCAAAAACCTGCCAAAAAATGATATTTTTAACACTTTTGACAGGCTTTCAAGAGAACCTTTCCCCCAAAAACATGGAACCAAACAGCCCCTTACGCCTCGTTTGGTATGCGGGAATGAGGAGGAATGGAATGCAATTCCCACTTCCCATTCCCTCATACCAAACACACCTATATTTTAGATGTTGGAATGACCATTCCCTAGGAATGATCATTCCCACTATTTGTGGGAATGAGCATTCCAAGTGAGAAGATAAGGAATGGTCATTCCCATTCAAGTGAGAATCAAAAACTAGTTAGGTATTTTTCAATTATATCCATATTAATAATAAAAATCAATATATCTAATGACTACGATTTTCTCTCTCCCTGCACCGAAATAAAAAGCTCTCCCTGCACCGAAATAAAAATCAATTATATTCATCGCCTTGGGTAGCTTTGGCGATATTGACGAAGAGCGAAACTGTGATCTCCGATCGGTCTCTCGCAAGCGCGATCAGGTGCGATTAGTTTCCCAAATTATTTAATCTTTCTAGTGCTTATTGATTTTCTATCTACGTGAATCAATTTTTTTCCTGAAAATTTTCCTGAATTGTTCTCATATTGTTCCCTTGCTGTTGAATCTGTTCTCAATCATGGAAAAAATTGAATTTTGATGCATTTTCTTGCATATTTTTTTTCTTAGAAAATGGAGATTAGGTTTCTGGTCTATATTAAGAATCAATTGGCACAGAAAATTCAGATTGCGATGAAAACGGAGATTAGGTTTCTCATATTGTTCTTTTTACACTCAATAGAAGTATGATGAGATGCTAACTAATCTAATTCAGAATCACCTCAAATCCTACATTTCTAACCATAGTAAGTCTGCTAGAATGCTACTTTCCAACTCTTACATCACGACACTCCATTCAAACTCAAGCATTTTTAACATACTCATTATATTAACCAGTACATAATGTAAATCATACTTGAGACATATAGATTTATTCAACTCTGTTCTGTAGGAATGTAAACAATTTAAATAAACATGATTGCTATTTAGGTTCTTCTCTTCTTTTTTCTACTTTTTCTTAGTAGCTTGATGACAATCTGTGTCGTGGTTTGATGTATATTTGTAAGTGATTAACTAGTTGCTTATATCAATTACAATATCTGCTGTCCGACATCAACAACTGTAATTTAAGAATATATAACTGAACAATTGAAAAAAAGCATAGTATAAGTTGGATTCTTATTATTTTTTTATCATGGTGAGTTCCGGAGTCGGGTAGCAGTCTCTACAGCATATTGAAGACATAAAGGAAACACATTATTGCATCTAAATATATTATTATTGTTTTCCGAATCTCTGTCGACCAATTTATATATGCTATGTTCATATTACCAATCCAAGACCATTTCATGATTATGTTATCTGTGATAAGATCAATACTTATAATTGCAACAGTGGTGTACTGAGTCGACATATCCCACCAATGTTTAAATAGGTTTTGTGGCTAAGAGATAGTGAAACATGATGACTTTCCAGTTCATATATCCGAGTATTCTATTGTGGCCAAACATTCTCATATATGGAATTTCATAAATATTCTATGTTATCTGGGTACTTCTATTTGAAGCCGTACCCGTGCTTGGCACGTACCCGTGCCTGAAACTTCTTGGACATTTCTTGAAAATATATGCATATGTTAATTCAGGTGTTTGCTCAATTTTATAATACATTATTCATTTAAACATCTGTTACATGAAAACATTCATACTCACTAGCATGGACCAGTATGAGATTCCAGTGTAAGTCCTCAATATATCCCTAATTGGTGGACTCAGAGATAAAACACTTATCTCCTACACTGCAAGCAACTCTTAAGATGCTATTATCATTGTAATACTCACTTAAGTGTGTTTAGTTATGTGGTCTTTACTAGCATTTTCCTTCAAATTTCTAGCTTGTTTTAAACCTAAGTTCATCAGAAATAGCCTTGATGTAATGTGTTGGATCCACGTTGTTGTTGTGTCACACTTCCCTTGTGTATTATGTTGCTTCACACCAGTGGATACTCATCTCATGCCTGATGTCTTTTAATTGTTAGAAGGCAGTGTGTAACTAATAGTGGTAGTCCTCACAGATTCTAGAGTGGCGACCCTTACTCATGTTATATGTCAGTTAATCCTTTACACTAACTTACTGGGATGCACTTACACAAGTTACCTCAAATACCATTTGCAGTGTGGGACGTTATTGGCAGTGTGAGATGTTATATGTTTACTCTCCTGAAGATTTTAAATTGTTTACATTCCAAAATGAATATACTCCTTTACACTTATGCAGTCAAGATATATCATATTACTGGGATGCACTTACACAAGTTACCTCAAATACCATTTGCAGTGTGGGACGTTATTGGCAGTGTGAGATGTTATATGTTTACTCTCCTGAAGATTTTAAATTGTTTACATTCCAAAATGAATATACTCCTTTACACTTATGCAGTCAAGATATATCATATTATGGATTCTGATGCCGAACGGAGAAAATTGAAGAAGTTGGTTGCTGTCCAAGCACATATGAGAAATGTGCAAAGCGTAGTGGCTTGGTGGTTCCTATTTTCATCTCACATAATAAAAATTTACATTGAAAAAAAATCACTAAGAGAGCGATATTTGATAGATTTTTATTCTAAAAGGAAAAATGTATATCGTCTAGCATATGCAAGTGAAGTAACTTGTTATGATCAGCTTAGAATGTATAGGAGCTCTTTTAGGAAGTTATGCACTATGCTGCAAAATGTAGGACTAAATAATACAAAAAATATGTTGGTAGATGAGCAAGTAGCAATGTTTCTACATATCCTCGCCCACCATGTGAAGATCAGAGTCATAAAACAAATGTTTCAGCGTTCAGGGGAAACTATTAGTCGGCATTTTACTCGTGTGTTACACGCCGTGATACGTCTACACGATATTTTGATTAAGAAACCCGAGCCAGTGCCGATTGACTCAACAGATGCGAGGTGGAAATGGTTTAAGGTAATCTATAATATAAGTATCATTTGTATTTATCAATTTTTATAAGTAATTTAACACATTAAAATTTCCCTAATGTCTAGAATTGTCTTGGAGCTTTAGATGGGACATACATAAGGGTGAGGGTGGCTGTGGAGGAAAAATCTAGGTATCGAACACGAATGGGTGAAATTGCTAAAAATATTTTGGGTGTATGTGTAGGCATAAAAAATTACCTATAAGTTCCCGGATATAACTCAAGACGAAGATGATATGATTAAACGTAATCATCTAAGTCAAAGAAGATCATCTGATGCCAATAGAAAGTAAAGGAACGCGTGAAAAGACGAAACAAGAAGCGACAAAACGTGCAAATTAACGAAACGCGGAACGAGACACGCATCAGTATGTCTCACATGTGAGACACATTATTGTGTCTCGCCGGCAAGACACAACATGTGTCTCGCACTCATGTGCGAGACACAAAGTGTGTTTCACCTAGTCAGACTCCCGCGACGTAACCAAACTAGCTTGTTCCATAGGAACTGTTTGATTCATCTTATTTCTCTATAAATTTCTCAATCCTAAAGCAATGTTCTTCACTCTTTACTTTAAATTAAATAATCACTTATGGTAAACTATCTTAATCTTTCTATGGAAGTGATTTATTAGAAAACGACGATTGTTTCCAGAGCAAATATATAAGAAATAGTGTAATACCCAAAAGAATAGTCCCACATCGAAAAGTGATGAGGACTTCAAAGTGTTTGTAATGTAATCCAAAGGGCTCAAGAGTAACAAGTTCTAACACTTTTTAGCAGGAGATTTAGCCAAACGAGTTGCTCTTAGTGCGTCCTGCGGTTTACACCGTGCCAACGGGCTCGCAGGCCTAGGGCGTGACAATAGGGTTAATCGCGAATAGGCCACTCTAGTATCACCCAATTGCGAATAGACCCCTGAAATTTTTTTTGTGGCGAATATACCCCTCTGTAGTGTTGGCCTAGGTGCGAATACACCCCTGTAGTGAACTCTTTCGACTCGTTTAAAAGTAAAAATTAGCAATTGAGGTCTATCCTCACCAATAGAACTATAACGCCTCGTTTGGTACGCGGGGATGAGGAGGAATGGAATGCAATTCCCACTTCCCATTCCCTCATACCAAACACACCTATATTTTAGATGTTGGAATGACCATTCCCTAGGAATGATCATTCCCACTATTTGTGGGAATGAGCATTCCAAGTGAGAAGATAAGGAATGGTCATTCCCATTCAAGTGAGAATCAAAAACTAGTTAGGTATTTTTCAATTATATCCATATTAATAATAAAGAATGTTTGGGTGAGGCGCTATGCAAGTGGGCAATTTTAGATTGACAATTTAGGCTAGTATATCATTTGGCTATTTCGAAACTTATTATTTTAGTTGGTATTGTTTTATGGATTTTTGCTATTATGAATTGAGTGATTTTGATACTTTATCAAATAAGTTAATTTATATATCTAGAACTGTGGATTGTGGATATCATTCTTTTTTTTTGGACCTATGAAAGATACGATAATCTTTTTTTTTATTTTTCTTTAATTTTTAAGACTAAGAAATAGCGAGTATTGTTTAAAAAATATAAACGAAACATACACCTGATGGATAACACGAGCATTAGTATAACACATACCTAGATTAATATAACATATGCGTATATAAATTTATTTAGTTATTATCATTAATGTTTATTTTTTATCTTATTAAAAATCTATGTTGTTGTAAGGGCATTATTAGAAAATAAGATTTCATTCTCACTTGTGTACTAGTGATACCAAACATGAGAATGGGAATGAGATTTCCATTCTAGCTTCATTCTACGAACGCACCCAAACAAGAGAATGAGAATGACCATTCCATTCCCACATGCAATCCATTCCATTCATTCTTCCATTCCATTCCCAAGTCTGTCCATTCCCGCGTACCAAACGAGGCGTTAGTGGATTTGGGCTGCTCCAACGAACGCTGCTCTCGTAACGGGCCCGCAAGCGGAACCCGACCCGTCATTACCCACTGAGCATCACTCGCCAGCGACTATAGATCTCGACTCCGCCTCAGATCTCAATCGAGAGCGATCGCCATGGACAAGATGAGCAGAGCTCTGGAGAGGGCGAAGATGCTTGTCGGCATGGAGGTCGACGAGGAGCAGCAAGCGGCCGAGGAGACCTCCTCCACCTCCTTCTACGACGACTTCAATCGCGAGTGCACTCTGACGACCAAGCAGGTATCTCTCGATTTTTACACTGGCTAGGGTTTCGTGATCTTCGTCGGGTTAGTTAAGGCTCCTATAGATCTAGGGTTTTAACTTTTCTTGTAGTAAATTGCCAAATTGGTGAAATCGGCAAGGATCGTTGGGGCTTAGGGAAATCAGTGAAAATTGGGAACGTAGAGCCGACATTTGTGCTGCCTTGATAGTCTCATTGGAAGTGTGAAACGTAGTCAGATTTTCCTTTGTGATGCTTTTTCTAGAGGTAAAAAAACTGAAGTTTTTGATCGGATGTAATGTGTGTGGGGCAACTGCGATGACGTTTGATTGGGGTTTTCCTAAGTTTTGAGCTTGTTGATGACAAGTCCCCCTAAAAATCTTGGCTAAATGGCACTTATATACCCTATTGTTTCACCATGTTTACACTTGAATACCCTAAGTTGTAAAAGCTAGCATCTTGACACCCAAAGTTGTAAAAAAGGAGCACTTTAGTATCATAAGTTGTAAAAAAACCGGCACTTAGATATCGTGTTGTTACACCATATTTACGCTTAAATATTCTTAGTTGTAAAAAACAGCACTTTAATACCCTAAGTTGTAAGAAAGTGACTTTAATATCCTAAGCTCCTAAGCTGTAAGAAAGTAGCACTTTAATGCCTTCCGTTAGTTGTTAGGACATATTCCTAGGAATATTTCCATGGCCACTACTAAAAGATACTAATGTGCTAATTTTTAACAACTTAGAGTATTAAAGTGCTACTTTTTAGAACTTAGGGTGTTTAACTGTAAAAGTGGTGAAACAATAGGGTATTTAAGTGCCATTTAGCCAAAAAATCTTTGAGAGTCTACACTTCTGAAATTTGTATCGGCTTGGGATCTTTTTAAATAGGAATTAACTATCAAAAGACTTTCACATCGTCTCAATCAAACATTCAATAATCTGATTTGTTGGGAAGTAGCCTTGTAGTTCATCATGAGAGACATCGGGAGACGAAGAAGAAGGGCAAAAGTCGGTTGGTCCGACCGGAGTTTACGACCCTTCGAACGATTTTCCAGGCTGCTTTGGTTATTTCGGGGTCATGTTTGGGTTAGGAGTTCTAATTGGTATTGTATCCAGTTTCGATACTATAGATATGGCTCTTCTATGTCTAGGATTAAGTGTAAAAATCTAAGGGGAGTTGCATATCGTAAAAGATGGGTAGAGGAAAACAAAGGAGAAAAATCTAGGGTTTTGTGCGAGATCTTTTTGCGGGTTCTTCAAGAATGCAAGAAAGCTTGTATCTTGTTAATCTCTAGTAAAATAAGGCTCAAATCTCTCCCTGTGATGTAGGTGATTGCCGAACCATATAAATTGCGTATCGTTGTGCTCTTGTTTTATTTTTTGTGGTAGTATTGCTTTCTCTTTAGTTTGAACACAAGTTTCTTGGTGTTTTCACATCGTTAGGTGATCGATTGCTCTAGGAAGATGGAGGAGATCTAATTAGGAATTTCGGCAATGTTTTTGTAGGCGACAATCGCTCATAGGATGCCGATTGATGGCCAACAATTGGTATTGTGTTGCAGTAGGTGCGTCAACATGATTAAGTTCGTCCGATTTGCTATTTAGGTGCTTTAGGGTCGATCTTTATTTTTAAGATTTATCCGTTGAAAACTTCTTATTCGTATACACCCTGTTGGCACAAATGGCCACACTTCAAACCATGACAGATTCCCCCATCAAGAAATTACAAATTACCTAATATCACCTTATGCGCTGCCCCGCTACTTCATTAGCTTATAGCCTTTTCCTTTTTTTTCCATTCACTCAGCACCTATCCGCTTCACTTAATATTGGTGGAACCGTGGAGGGTTCTTTTGAGTTTGACTTGGATCTTGATGATTATATGGATTGTGAAAATTTTTTAGACCAAGCTTCAGTGGATGCTAATGTTTGCGTTCTGGAAAGAACTGACAGTCTCCTATGATTCTTCTCTCTCTATTTAGATTAATAGAGCTCTCCAACACTGTTGATGATGCAACTGTGAGGCATTTGTGATTGATGATAAAAGGCGAGTCATGAAAGGGACTAATAAAAAATATTGAATTATGTTAGATTAGGACATTAGACACTCTAGGTTGTTTTCATCTTATGTGCAGAGAAATTTGAGACCTGCAAATTATAATTATTTCCACATAGGAGGCAATCCCACAAGATCAAAGTATATGGTTTGGGGCTTATCCTGTGCTCCACACAATGCACATTTGGCATTTTAGTTGTTTTATACTTTGTGCTCAAGTAAATGTTTGTGGGAATTCTTTTACCCCTTGACATATCCTCTTTTATATCCCTCTTTATACATTTATGTATTTTTAGGGGTTTTCCCCATAGAAACCACCTTAAAAATAGTGTAATTAACCACATTTCCATCGGGGATCCATAGTGAGGTCAGTGGGGCAGTTGCCCCCACTGACCCTTAGCAAATATGTTAGGCCTTTATGCAATTTGAACCCATTGTTTTGACCCATTTATTCTAAACCCCTAACGTTGTCTACTAACTAATATAAACACCCAAATAAGCCATAGCCGCTCCGTTTACCCAAAATTTAAAAATCAGTTGATGCTCTAGTTTTGAAATTCCTTTATGTAGCTTAACAGTTAGTTTATGGAGTCAAATACCAAATTGCTCTTTTATGTAGCATGCTTGAGCCTACAAGATATATTGCTGCTTTTGATTAACAAAAATTACTTTGATTAACAAAAATTATTCAGATTGCCCAATTCTATCCTCTAAAATTCTCCTCAGTGGAAACCATGATATTTGATGGACAACTTAAGAATTATATTATAGATGTGCTGTCAGATGATGGATTTTTTAACTTGGCGATCTTTTTGAAAAGTAAATGGAGACAAGTAAGCAAGTTGCATACCCTTTGGTGTATCTTTTCGTGAAGCTAGTTGTGATCGTACTGGTTGCTACAACTACAGTGAAAAGAACTTTTCTACAATGAACACTCTAGAGAATTGAATGTGCAACCACATGATAGATGACTGGTTGAATAATTGCTTTGACGCTTATATTGAAAGGGATCTTTGATAGCATAAGAAAATGAGAAAATCATACAACAATGTTCATTGTAAAAAAATGAAGAAAAAAAATCGTACAACAAAATATAAAAACACGGAGGGAACAATTGTAATGAAGTTTTTATTAAGTACTTATATTGACTATATTTTGTTTGTAGATATAAATATGCTTTTGTTTTGATGTCATTAATAGTTAGGTAAAAATATCATATAGTATTGTATTTATATACTTGTAATTTTGCTTCTAGTGATCAAAAGTTTCTGGATCAGCCCCTTGCACCTTTCAATTTTAATTTATACATAAATCACTTTTAAAGTGGGTTTTTGTTGCAATCAATCACTCCTAGTCAAACTTTTCATTATAAACCCAAAATTACCCTTAAAAACTCTCATTCAAGGCATATGCGACCTATTTTTTTAGTGATTAGGTCTTATTAGGATACAACTTGCGTACCTAGAACTTGAAAATTTTAAGCTTATTTTTTATTTTTTATTAACAATTTGACTAGGAGGTGGTTGATTTCAACAAAATCCTACTTAAAAGTTGGTTTATTTATAAATTGGAATTGAAAGATGGTTTCCATATAATTATCCTATTTTTAAGGTGGTTTTCAGGAAAAAAAACCCTAAGTTTTATTCAAATTTGGCATAAATATAGTATCTGTCAGAATTAAAAATTGCTACCATGTTATATCCTTGTTTGGTGTCGTTATGATGAAGACATATTTATTTAAAGTAATTTATAAAATTGAATATTTTATACCTTATTTAAATAGTAATGTATAAAATTGATAATATTTTTGGCTCAATTATGTTCAACTGCTGAACTGGCTTTTGTTTGCTCGAAGTTGTTTTGTAAGCGTTGAACTATGAATATGCAATGTCTAATTCAACTCTCTACTCAACTTATATTTAAATTATCATAAACTGATCCCATTTCCCCCCCTGTTATCAGAGATTATACGGCTTTGCCATATGTTTATCTGCGGGTTTAGCTTGTACATTCCTGGTAAGCTGAGTAAAGATTATCTCATTATCTTATCTACCAAGAGTATATATATAACTGTTAGGACCTTAGATTATTTTCTTCTTTAAATGGCAATCGGTTGTTGATAATTTTATGCTGTGTGATTGTGTTTGATGCAGTCGATGCTCGTGTTCTTGAATCCAATCAAATTTGGAGTAACATTTACCTTTGGCAATTTACTTGCGCTTGGGAGGTTCGTATCACTGATCATCAGAAGATGAACTTTTCTTGTTCAATAGTTATTTTCTCCCCCCTGGCATGTGTACATCTGCCTGGGATCATGAGGCAATGTCCTTTTTTATGGCAGCACAGCTTTCCTCATAGGCCCAAAACGACAGGTTACAATGATGCTTGATCCCGTGCGCATATATGCAACTGCCATATACCTTGCAAGCATGATAATATCTCTATTTTGTGCTTTTTATGTAAGTACCTAGCATTATCAGTTAACACAACCATTCTTTTTCGAGTTCACATTTTGATATCACATGATTCAAAAATTAAATGTTGTTTCCCTTCTGATATAGGTGCACAACAAGCTCTTAACTCTGTTGGCTATTATCTTGGAGTTTGGTGCCCTTGTGTGGTAAGTTGCTCTTCTGACTTTCACTTGATGTTAAATAACACTTATCTTTATATACTTTTCACACAGGTTCATATTCTACAGCTATTTTGTATATGTATTTCAAAACAACCCCCGGAATCAAAATGACAATGATACAGTTGTTTTTTTATGTCTTTCAAAAAAAAGCTCTTTTTTTTTTTGGTTGGGATAATGAAGCCATTGGGAATCACAAAAGATCGTATGAGCCTTATTGGAATTTGGAACCTCTACCATCTGGATCGCTCGCGGTGCTCCACTTGCCAAGCTCCTTTATTACTTGATATGTTCACAAAGATCTTGGAGCGCATGTACCAACCACCTATATCTTTATGTTATCTTTTATTTCATTTTTATTTTTATTTTATTTTTTATTTACTATGAAGGTTGAACAAAGATGTAGCAGAGACTTCATCTTGACTTTTCTTTGATGTATGCTCAGACCCATTCTTCTTTGGTGCCCCGTGGCTTGCATTACATTGCATCAACCTATTTAGCACAATGCAAAACTCCATAGAACATTAGTATATACTATAAAGAATGGAGTTATCATGCAAAACTCCATAGAACATTAGTATAAACTATAAAGAATGGAGTTAACATTAAACATCAGGATGTTATTAGCTCAGCCACCCTTGAGACTTCACGCCTATGGCATTCTCCATATAGTTGGAAAACAAGATGACGTCAAGTCATAGTCGAAGTAGGAAGTATGTATTCTATACTTGGGCACTCCATTACTTTACTGGAGGTAGATCATGGTTGTATCCAGCACGGTAAAAATTGAATGTATGAAGAATTTTATATTTTTCTATTTGATTTTAAGATGCATTACATCAATACATCATATAATTTTTTTCTGTTTCTTACAGAAGAACAAGTTTGTTCACATTATTTATTTAACGGTGTACAATTTTATGTGCTTATGTATGTATTTCGTACACGTAATCATATATGTATGTATTTCGTATACATAAGCATATATGCTTGTTTATATGTTTTTTTTTCATACTCATACTGTAAGGTCCTAGTTTTAATATTTCTTAGAACTATACTTGACCTCACTAGTAATTGTTTTACCAGGTACGCGCTAAGCTACATACCTTTTGCACGGTCCATGGTGTCGAAAATCATGTTTGCTTGCTTGGACACAGAGTTTTGAGCTTTGCTCCTTCAATGCAAGATAGTTATGTTGTATAATTTTAAGGGTGGAGATCGATTGTGTTTTGTTTAGCGGCAATTTTTCAGACTGAAACTGTTTCTTCTCATTTCGTCTTTCTACACCTTCTCCCTATCTGCTCATAGTTTGAAATCCTGTCCCAAAAAACTCGATCATACCTTGCTAAGGCGGTGGCATGTCCATATACCTTCATACTGTGGTGATATAAAGTTGACTTCATGGCAAATATTGTCTCAGAAGGAATAGCTGTAGCGTTTATAATCCCTGCACGTATATCAAGGGTTTTTAACTTCTGAAAGTAAAGGCTGACACCCTTGTTATCATTTTGCAGTAGCAACTGTATTTTTTGCTAATTAAGGATGTGTTTGGATTTATAAGTGCTGCTGCTATTGTTGCTCAAGAAGCATGTGGACCTTTTCCCCCCTCGATTGGGCTGTAATGTATGTGAGCTATGTGTGTTCGTCTATGTATACTTTTTGTCTATAAGTTCTATCATATGTTTCACTTTCGTAGTGGAAGTACATAATATTTGTCGCGCAAAGGGGAAGAAAATAATGAACTTGAAGTAGACAGAAAGGGTAGAAAGTTTGACAGTCTCATTGAAGGCTCTTCGCATCAGTGTTTTAAATGTCGGCCGACATGTCAGATTTAGGAGCCAACCGACACGATATGGAGCTTTTCAATGCGTATTACGTTTTCAAGGTTTATGTTGGATATATCGGGGGATATGTCGGATATGTCGGGTGATAGGTTGGTTATGTTGGCTGATTTTTCAGTCAGAAAAATTGACTGTTTTTTTTATTTTTTTGGTTATGTTTGTCTAATCAGGTTTGAGTTTAAATTCTTGATTGTCTTAATATTAATTCCAAAATCGATAAGTTCAGAGAAATGGAAAAAAAGACTGAAGTAATATTCGTCGCTCATCTTCTCTCTCTCCATCGACATCTCATCAGTCTTTTCTCCGAGCTATTTCTTCGACATCAATGTCGGGCAATCTTCTCTCTTCTTAACCGCTAATATCTGATTCATCACCTTTTTCCTTCAACATCAACTCTAAGCATCATAAGTTATTTACTCTTTTATATGTTTAGACAATAGAATTTTATAAGTCTATTTAGATTTTATTTATGATATTTATATTACACATACGCTGATACGCACACCATCCAATATGCCAATCTGATATTTTTTTCATGCCCCCCGACACATTCCTGATTTTCGCTATCCGACATGAATTTTAACCGTCCGACATGAACCCGACATCCGACATTTAAAACCTTGGTTCGCATACAACACACGCACACATGACTACAAAGAGACTCTGTTTTGTTCAAGTTTTCGCCATTCGCTCTACATGAGAGGATATCAAATGGCCTGGGGATCAGTGACCAAACTCAGGCTTTGGCCTGGATTCTCATGCCTTGCTAAGGTTTTGCCCGTATCCAAATTTTTTTTTTGCAGATTAACCTGGGCAGCCGTCATTCACCTTTTCTAATCAGAGTTTCCTAAATTTCCCAAAACATGGGGGTCATCTTGCAAGTTTGGTGAGTCAAAGGTGGGTTGCCTGCAAAATCGTAATCTATTATGTGAGGCGTACGGCCGCTCTCCGGTGCGCTCTCCCTCGTTCTCGCTCTCTCTCTCTCGATAACTATGACCGCGATCTCCACTAACCCCTGGAATCTACTTCCCAAAATCTCACCAAATGTCGACTGTCAGGAGCAAAGGTTAAGACAGCTGGAATTGAATCAACCTGAGGGTGCAGTCGAAGAATGAAGAAGTGGTTGGACTGATACGCAAGGGTTGAACTGACAAGGGAGTTTTATGCAAAACTTTCAGAGTTCCAGAACTTGTAATAAATACTAGTAGTGGCTGTTTGCTGTTTTTCATTGTTTGCTGTTTCTTTGCTGTTTGCTGTTTTTCTGTTATTTCTGTTATGCAAAGGTACTGTTGGTGCACGTGCACGGAAGGGAATTGAACTTGTATAAATGGGAAGATGTAAAGGAAAATACTCAGGTTGTTGGATAATAAAAATCTTCCATTCTCCTTCCAATTACAACTGATATTCACAATTCTCTCTCAAATTTATCTTCATTCTCTGTCAACTTCTTCTCAAGTTCTCCAAAACTCTCAGTCATGGCCAGAGATGGGCTCAGAAAGATGAATCGGGGTTCAAGAACCTCACAAATGGTATCAGAGCAACAAGAAATCGAAGCTGGAGCTGATGATTTCTTGAACGATCAGGAAGAAGCTGATGCTGAAGAAGTTACTACCGATGAAAGATTCACTAGATTAGAGGATGCAGTCATGCAAATCAGTTCCTCTCGTCAGCAACAGGATGATAACATTCAGAAACTGTCAGCACAGATGGGTGAATTCTCTTCCAAAATGGAATTCATGATGCAGGAGATCAAGAATCTCAAGAACCCTGATCAAAGAGTTCTGGGCACTGGAACAAGAGGGAATAGGGATAATTCACTCTCAGCAGCTGGCGAATCTAGCAAGAGTGGCCATGGTACTGGATACCTTCCTCCACATCGAAGGGTTGCTGAATTCATGGGCGAATTTCCACCTGTTTACAGCTTTGGTAATTCCTCAACTCAAAGAAATTCTTTCTTTAGCAATCAAAAACTAGTCCAACCCAAGTCATTACGATTGGATTTCCCCTCTTTCTCTGGATCTGAGAATGTTATAGCTTGGCTAGAACAAACTGAGCAGATCTTTGAATATTATGAGATTAAAGAGGATGAATGGGTTAAGGTCTGTTCTTTCTACTTAAGGGATGAAGCTTTACAGTGGTATAGGTGGCTCACTAAGAATCTTGAAGATTATTATTACTGGGCTGTTTTTAAGGAAGAAATTATAACAAGATTTGGTCCTAGCGAACTCACGAGACCATATGATGCCTTCTCAACCATGAGACAGACTTCTACAGTCAGGGAGTACCTAGGAAAATTTGAACAAGCGTTAGGATTGTTAGATGATCAACCTTCTAAGAGACACATTCTTGAGAGGTTTATAGGGGGATTGAAAGATGAGTTGAGATATGATGTTTCAGCAGCTAGACCAACTTCTTTAAAAGGAGCTGTAGCCTTGGCAAAATTATTTGAGGACAAACAAAAAAATGAAAGGAAAAATAAGGGTCACTGGAGTTTTTCAAACTCAGAGGGTTCTTCAATGAACAAATCACAGAATCCTTCTCTTAAATCTTCAGATCCTCAAGCAGTCAAGCCCTTCCCCCAGTTTAAAAGAATGACCTCTGAAGAGATACAAAAAAAAAGAAGTCAAAACTTGTGTTTTACATGTGATGAAAAGTGGCACAGGGGTCATCAGTGCAAAGGAAAACAGTTGTTTATCTTAGAAGGAATTATGGGAAGTGAACTGGACAGAACTGAAGAGGCTTTTGGAGAGGAGGAAGAAGAAAATTCTAAAGTCATGGAGTTAGCTGAAAGCCTGGTCAGGGGGTCTCCCTCTATTTCAGTACAAGCATTGAATGGAATTACTGCCTCCCACACAATTAGGGTGGTAGGATATTACAAAAATCAGGCTATTAACATCTTAATAGATTCAGGATCTACACACAATTTCATCAATACCAAACTGGTTAAGAAGCTGGGTATAACTGTGACAGAATCAAGCAATTTTGAGGTCCTGGTAGCTAGTGGTGAACTAATTAAAGGAGGAGGAGTATGTCCAGGAGTATCTTTAGACTGCCAAGGGGTGAATATTCAGGTTGATCTATTGGTGATGCCTATGGGAGGAAGTCAAGTGGTCCTAGGAGCTGATTGGATGAGGACATTGGATGATATCACTCTGAACTTTAATAAGTTACAGGTGACATTTATGACTGAAGGGGTTAAGAAGACCTTGCAAGGGGTACTTCCAGATGATTTGCAGTTGGTTGACAGTAAGCAAATTGCAAAAACTCTCAGGGAACAAGAGCAGGGGTTCTTCATCCAATTGTGCAGTATGGGTCTACAAAGTTGCACAACAGAAGGTACACAGGGGGACTTACCTACAGAAGTGCAAGAACTGATTCAAGAATTTGGAGATGTATTTCAAGAGCTACCACATCTTCCACCTAGAAGAGACATTGATCACAGGATTCCACTGGAAGATGGCACCAAACCAATCTGTATCAGACCATACAGGCATGCACACTTTCTTAAAGATGAAATTGAGAAACAAGTGGAAGACATGCTTAACAAAGGGATCATTAGACCCAGCAACAGCCCTTTCTCTTCTCCAGTTGTAATGGTTAAAAAAAATGATGGGGGGTGGAGGATGTGTATTGATTACAGATCCCTTAATCAAGCTACTATCAAAGATAAATTTCCCATACCTGTCATAGATGAGCTTTTGGATGAATTACATGGGGGCAAGGTTCTTTACCAAGCTGGATTTAAAATCTGGATATCATCAAATTAGAATGCATGCAGCTGATATTCCAAAAACTGCCTTTAGAACCCATAGTGGACATTTTGAATTCCTGGTAATGCCATTTGGTCTCACTAATGCTCCTTCTACCTTTCAGGCCCTTATGAATTCTATCTTCAAAGATCTACTCAGGAAATCTATCCTTGTTTTCTTTGATGATATTTTGATATATAGTGCAAAGTGGCAGGACCATTTATTTCATCTAAAACAGGTGTTTATGATTATGAGGAAACATCAGTTGGTAGCAAAGATGTCAAAGTGCAGTTTTGGACAACATCAAGTGGAATACTTAGGCCATGTTGTATCACAAGAAGGGGTTGGGGTTGATACTAACAAGATCAAGGCTATCATTGAATGGCCAAGACCAACAACTTTGAAAAGGTTGAGAGGCTTTCTGGGGTTAGCAGGGTACTATAGGAAGTTTATCAGGGGATTTGGATCAATAGCACAACCCTTGACACAACTTCTAAAGAAAGGGGCCTTTAACTGGACTGATTGCACTGAAAAAGCTTTTGAAGCTCTAAAAGAGGCACTGACTCAACCTCCAGTCTTAGCTATGCCCAATTTCAACTTAATATTTGTCATTGAATGTGATGCTTCAGGATCAGGTATTGGGGCTGTATTGATGCAAGAAGAAAGACCCATAGCTTATTTCAGTTCTGCTTTGAAAGGAAGGAATGCTACACTGTCCACATATGAGAAGGAGTTAATGGCCATCATTCTGTCAACAAAGAAATGGCAGCAGTATCTACTAGGAAGGAAATTTGTGATTAGAACTGATCATCAGAGTCTCAAATACCTATTGGAGCAAAGAATTCACACAGGTATCCAAAATAAATGGCTTGCAAAATTACATGGGTATGACTATAGTGTGGAATACAAGCCAGGCAGGTTGAATAAGGCTGCAGATGGCCTATCCAGACTACAGGATAATGAAGAGGAGATTCCTGCTCCTATGACTGAGGTCTTAGCACTCACTACTCTTACCAGTGATTGGCTCGAGGAGATTAAAAACATGTGTTCCATAGATGAGTATTTTAAGCAGTTGGATGACAGGTTGCTGCATGGACAAGTGAATACTGATAATTATGTCAAGAAAGGAGGGCTTTACTTCTATAGAGGGAAACTTTTAATTAGTCCCCAAGCTCAACACAGAGATATAGCTCTCCAATTTTTAAAAGACAGCTTGAAGAAATCAGTGGTACAAATGAAGAAATTTGCAGATAGACACAGAAGTTTCAGAAGCTTTACAATAGGTGATTGGGTTTATCTTAAACTTCAGCCTTATAGGCAAATCAGTGTCTCTTCTTGCAAGCCACACAAATTATCTCCTAAGTATTATGGCCCATACCAGGTTTTGGAGAAGATAGGTGAGGTAGCTTACAAGTTAGAACTCCCTACTCATTCCAAAATCCACCCTGTTTTTCATGTTTCCCAGTTAAAGAAGAGGGTAGGTACTGATATCATTTTACAAAGTGACCTGCCTAGTTATGTGGAAGAAATAATTGATGAACCTGAAGCTATCTTGGATAGAAGAACGATCATTAAGGGAAATCATTTGGTCTCTGAGGTTCTGATTCAGTGGAAGCAAAGGCCCCCAACTGATTCAACTTGGGAACCATACTGGGACTTGGTGAAGAGGTTTCCCACTTTTGACCTTGAGGCAAGGTCAAATTTAAGTGGGGGGAATTGTCAGGAGCAAAGGTTAAGACAGCTGGAATTGAATCAACCTGAGGGTGCAGTCGAAGAATGAAGAAGTGGTTGGACTGATACGCAAGGGTTGAACTGACAAGGGAGTTTTATGCAAAACTTTCAGAGTTCCAGAACTTGTAATAAATACTAGTAGTGGCTGTTTGCTGTTTTTCATTGTTTGCTGTTTCTTTGCTGTTTGCTGTTTTTCTGTTATTTCTGTTATGCAAAGGTACTGTTGGTGCACGTGCACGGAAGGGAATTGAACTTGTATAAATGGGAAGATGTAAAGGAAAATACTCAGGTTGTTGGATAATAAAAATCTTCCATTCTCCTTCCAATTACAACTGATATTCACAATTCTCTCTCAAATTTATCTTCATTCTCTGTCAACTTCTTCTCAAGTTCTCCAAAACTCTCAGTCATGGCCAGAGATGGGCTCAGAAAGATGAATCGGGGTTCAAGAACCTCACATCGACCCAAACAAACATTTTAAACCCAATTTATTGACTCAAAAGAGGAACAACCGCGGCTTAATCGCATCGTTTGTGGCGTCGAAACCCTTAGAAGATGGGTTTATAATCGTAGAAGACGATATACAGGATCTTCTCAAGGTTGGTAACCCTTCAGCTCAATCCTTGTACCTAATTACATGCAGTTCCTTTTGAGATTGTTGTATTTCCGTGAGAAATTTATCATCTTTATGTGTTTTTTTTTTGTGATATTGATGGGGTATATACGAGCAAAGGTGATCTGGGTTTCATTTGTTGTGGATTGCTTCACTGTTGTTATTGGGCTTGAGATTGAACTTATGGGTGTTACGCTTGTTAGATAAACAATAGCTTGGAGTGGTTATTTGTGATATTGACAGGGTATGTACAATCAAAGATGGTCCTTCTCTTTTTTCTTCCCCCGCTAGGAACCTTGGTTAAGTAGACCCAAGTGAGTAGCACAAGTGTTGCAATATCTAATAATTGTAATTTGGGGGTAGGCATACCGTAGACATAGATCGACCTATTAATTGGATTTGGAAAAAGAGAACTTCTTCACTTGACTGGTTTGGTTAAAAGACCCCAATTATTTATACACAAATTACAGAATAGGATATGAGCTATACAAGAGCTGTACAAATACTGGTGTCGGTATTAGTTGTGATGATGAGTATAGTTGTAACTATAGACGGCTGAACCGTAGCTATAGGTAGGCTGAACTGTAGTTGTAGGCAGGTAGCTAAACTATAGTTATATGTATGATTCTAACAACCCCGCAAATTGACGTTAGATTGAAAACTGAGAGTTTAGATAAGAAGTAGTGAAATTGAGAAATAGTTTGAGCCTTGGTAAACAAATTTGCGAAAGATCCTTGGGAGCAATGTATAAATAAAGTTACCAACAACATGCTCTTGTCGAATCGCAAGACAATCCATCTCAATATGTTTGGTGCACTCATGAAACAATAGATTTGTGAAAAAAGAGATGACACTCTGATTATCACATAAAGAGTGATTGGAGAAGGAACTTAGACATCGATATCTCACAAAAGAGCGCGGAGCCATTTTAGCTCAATTGTAGTATATGTCGTTGCTCGATACTCAATTTTGATACTTCTTGTCCAAAATCTCGGTTTTTGATCCCCGTGAGTTTGCAGGGGATGATAGAATCATACCTATAGCTACAGTTCAGCCGCATGCCTACAACTACAATTCAGCCTACTTATAGATACAATTTAGATGCTTATAGCTACAGCTATCCTCATCATCATAACTAGCATTGACACTATCATTCTTATAGCTCTTGTATAGCTCATATTCTATTGTATAATCCCTCCTATGTTAAACCTGTATGTTGTAAATGGATTTCTAAGGTCAAAATTTGTTTTGACGGTTCTATTGAACGGTACAAAGTTTGTCTTGTAGCTCAGATTTTCGTAGGAGTATGTGGTATCAAGTCGTAGATTTGTTTACCAAGGCTCAAACTATTTATCAATATCACTAATTATCCAAACTCTCGATTTTCAAGCCACCATGAACTTGTGAGGGACTGTTAGAATCGAGGGACTGTTAGAATCATACCTATAGCTACAGTTCAACCTACCCATAGCTATAGTTCAGCCGCCTATAGCTACAACTATCCTCATCAACACAGCTAGTGTCGACACAATCATTCTTACAGCTCTTGTATGGCTCATATTTTATTTTATAATTTGTATATTAATACTTAGGACCTTATTCCTTTATCCTTCAATGTTAAATTAGTAAGCTTTAAATGGGTTTATAAGGTTATAACTCGTAAGTGTTATACTGGGGTGAGAATTGCGGTGAAGAATATGTCCATGCAAGCCTTCAAACTTGGAACAGAGGTGCAGGACAAAGTAATATAGCTGCTAATGTTCATGTTTGTTCTGAAACGCAATAGCAAAGTGGGAAAGCATTTCAAGAATAGGTTCATCCCTTATTTACAGTTCTTCCTAGTAGCATGGTAATAAGGAATAGAAGTCCTAAGTAGACTGATCAACGTGGCGAGCATCTTGGAGTGCCTGATGAAGTTGATACTCTTGAGCAGCACCAATCCTCTTAGTCTCCATGATGCAGTTGCTAAGTTCATTTCTGAAGAGACACGCCTTTAGATGCTCTTTCCGCCAGTTGTCGCAACTCAGCCATCACCATCATCGCATTCTGTTTTGGCTACCCCTCATCAGTTTTCTTCCTATCAAAAATTCGAGCAACACTTTTGATTTCTCATAGCAACTCTATTGCCGGTATTGCAAAGAGCAAGGTTCTTGGCTATCAACGCTACTCCTGGGTATTGATCCAAGTATTTATATACAAATCATAAAATAGAATGCCAGTTATACAAGAGCTGTAAGAATGATAGTGTTGGAACTAGCTGCTATGATGAGGATAGTTGCAGGTATAGGTGGTTGTACTATAGCCGTAGGTATGCGGTTGGATGAGGATAGTTGCAGGTATAGGTGGTTGTACTATAGCCGTAGGTATGCGGTTGAACTGTAGCCGTAGGTGTGATTCTAACACGACCCTTGGCCTTTTGAGCCAAGGCACCAAGCCCCATCAACTAGGCTACCTGCGGGGGGTAATAGCTTGATGGTTTGCTTGAATAAGCTTGCTACTATTATTGAATCAGAGCTCAGCTTATTCTAGATGAAAATGATTTCTATATTGCTGGCTCCTATGGGTGAATTCTCATTTTTAATGGAGTTGAAAAACCAAATAACAGCTTGAATTAGAAAATAGGCATTGCATAATGAATGATTTTAGCACTTCTTTTATTAAATTGAATTTGGGGTTTTTTGCTGATAAGGTTAGCTGGTAGAAAAGTCTGTGTTCCTAATGCATACATTACTAATATTGAAGTGACCAATATTTAGTTAAGTAGGTAGTTTGTTTATTGCTTCAATAGAGAAAGAAGATGGTTATTCTTGTGTTAAAACCTATTGACACATTTTCAAAATAAGTGCCTTCTTATACAAATAACATTTCTATTGAAAATCCCAAACTGAAAACTTGAATATGTGGAACATTACTATCAATGACTTTTTGCTTGTGCGCTGTAACATTTGCAGCTTGCCTTTAACCATGTTGCTTTCATGTTGAGATGCATCGTGAATGGAGGAATGTGGCATGCCCCACACTAAAACCACGTATCCACTCCTGGATCACACTTTTTAGATTAAGCCCCTGAAAGCAAGTTTGACATGTGAGACTATTTCATGCCATTTTCCTTTTAAGTTTGAAATAGGTGAAAACTATGTATTCTATTTCAATATTAGTCCTTTTACGTTGCTCTTGTTGTACCTTGAGGCAAATCCATTCAATTTAATTCTTGAGCAAGTTCTGTTTAATCCATTCTGTCACTGGCTCATTTTTGCAGATTTTACCTAGAGATTTGCGAGAGAATTTGCAAAATGAGCCTAGGAGGGCTCAGCTCCTAGAGGTAATGCATTCTAAACATGAACAACATCCTTGATTTTATTTATGTTGCATTTATTAGCAAGTCTATGCTTCACTTCAAGATAGAAAAAGGGTTAGCTGCACACAGACCCCCAGCATTATCGTTCTTTTGAACTTACTACCCATGTAGTTCATTGTTATAGATAAACCCCCAGATTAATAATTCTTTTGACTATTTTTACCCTCAGAAATGAGTGTGTCCGTAATAATTAGAGGTTGCTCTTGTTATGAATAAAATAAGAGATAATCAATTAATGTGGTTTGGTCATGTACAGTTGAGATCTATTAGTGTGCTGGTTAGGAAAAGTGATAATATTGTAGTTAATGGGGACAAAGAGATCTAGAGGTAGATCCAAGAGAACATGATTGGAAACAATTAAGAAGTATGTGATAGTGGTTAGCTTAACGAAAGAGATGTTCCATAATAGAATGGAATGGAAGAATAGAATTTGTAGAGTCGACCCTAAATATTTGGGATGAAGGCTTTGTCAATTGTTGTACCCTCAGACAGACTCACCAATTTCATCTATGGGCAACATCTGTCGAAATTTCATCCAAGGTAAAAGGGTAAAAAAAACCAGGGCGTCTATCTGCAACAATAAAACTACATGAGAAGTGTGCTCAAAACAGCGATACTACAGGGGATGTTTGTGCAAGTAAACCACAGAAATAAAGACAAGTGTTTGTTGATGATTTTATCTATCACGATTCAGTTATGTATTATCTCAAGTAGAAAATTATGGAAATATTGCAAGATTTTGAAACGATTGTATGATTCGTTTATCTCATATACAGGTGGTACTAGATTTGGGACGCCGACCTGAAGCACGGTTTCTTGGTGAATCTGGTGGTCAGTACTTAAGGAATGCTGAGGTGGATGATTACCTTTATTCTCTTCTCACTTTTGAATCTTGGCATAGTTTCGTACTAGTACTATATCTTGTTTCCTTTATATCATAAGCTGCAATATCAGTGAATATTAGTTATCACATGCTTCTAGTGTTATTGTCCAGTAGCACCCTATTTAGTCATTTCACATATCCATAAATTCCTCTGCTTTGCTAGTGTGAAGTTTGCTTGTTGCTTGGCTGTGGGATTATATCCAAATGAAAATTTGTATGTTGTCTTTTCTTCATTATTTAGATATCACAAGAAGAGTTGGAGGAAGCTCAGAATTCTGTTGGAGAATTTGGAGGAGACAACAGGGCAGGGATCGAGGGCACTTTACATAGGATATCTGCAATAAGAAGTCGGAAAGGGCTTATTGTTGGATTAACATGCAGAGTTGGACGAGCAGTTACTGGTCATGTTGATATGGTTCGTGATCTTTTGCAATACAAAGAAAGCATCCTATTTCTAGGAAGGTATATTACTTTCTTCCTTAGGATATTTTGTCCTTGTTATATTGAGAGGAAGAAATTATTACCGAAAGAACATAAAACAAGATGTGCTCATGTAAATAGTTTCCAATTATTTATTCTCTCATGCCTTTCGTGCTGCTTATAAAAGTTTGGTATACTTGTAAATCAATTGCTTAATAATTTTTCTTTTGATGCTTGACTTGGAGACATTATTTACCTTTGAATATGTCACTACTACATGTCTAAATTTATACTTGCATAGAGTACTGTAATTATCGTCTGGTGTTCATACTTTGTACATATGGATGCAGGCCTGGTGTGGGTAAGACCACTGTCATGCGTGAGATTGCGCGTGTCTTGGCTGATGAACTTCACAAGAGAGTGGTATATCCAGTGTTCTTTATGTAGATAGTTTATACTAGGGTTAATTGCACATAGACCCCCTGTAGTATCTCTGTTTTGGACTTGCTACTCCTGTAGTTTCATTGTTGCAGAAGACCCCATGGGGTTTTTGGACACTTTTACCCTGAGTGAAATTTTGGCAAATATTACCCCTGGGCGAAACTAGTGAATCTATACTAAGAGTAAAAGAGTCAAAAAATATCTAAGTCAGGGAGTTTATCTGCTGCAATGTAACTACAGGATTCAAAACAGCGATATGACAGGGGGTCTATGTGCAATTAACCCTTTATATTAACATCACAAAGCATATGATACTTGACATTTTTCATCAGTTAGGTAATTGTAGACACGAGCAATGAGATTGGTGGAGATGGGGATATTCCTCATTCAGCAATAGGAGGTGCGAGAAGAATGCAAGTTCCGGAACCATCTATGCAGCATAGGGTCATGATTGAAGCCGTAGAGAATCACATGCCTCAAGTGGTGATTGTGGATGAGATAGGTACAGAAGCAGAGGCTCTTGCTTGTCGGTCCATTGCTGAAAGAGGAGTAATGCTTATTGGTACTGCTCATGGAGAACGATTGGGGAATATAATAAAAAATCCTACGCTTGCTGATCTGGTAAACTTCACTTTGGTTTTTAATTTTAACTTTCGAAATGTTGCACTAAGTCATTTTATCAACACTCTCTTCCATTGAGGTCCTATCCGTGAATTCATAAGACCAGAATGGTTAAAGTATCATGAGATTCTGGATATCATTTTTGTTATCAATCGTCTAAATTTATATTTAGTGAACAATAGGCTTCCTTTATAGGAACCAAGACAAATATAAAACGCACTACCTCTACAGATCAAATAATTGTGAATTTACAATTACAGTATGTACATTTGATTTCTTCTTAGTCTTGGTATCTAAGAGAAGTTTTCGATTCATTAGGTTATGCTGCAACATTTAAGAAGTGTCAAAAGTGGTATTTGACATGTATCCCTCAAATATCAGATACATGTCTGGTATGACTATTTCTATCTTATTGAGGTATGCGTGCAATTGAGGATATAACTAATAAGTCTTATCTACTAGTCCATCGATTTGTATACAGAAGATATTTGAACCGTCTACTTACTTTCTCTCCGTAATATGTTCAACTGAGCAGAGCAACCTTGTAGATCCTTCTAGGTTGCAGAATTGAACACCATAACCAATAATATCATTCTATTTCCCGCTGACAAGTAACGGCGTTTAAAGAAACTCAGTAATATTTTCAGATATTGTATGTCTTCATCAAGGAATGATGAAAGCTAGAACATCAGTAATGGAGAATCTCAAATTTTGTTGAATAATACCTTCATCAACTTGATCACCATGTATTTCTTAATAAAGCTTGTTTGTGTTTGGTTGTTTTGTGTATATTTGAAGTTAACGCTGCAATAAGCCCCTTTTTAGTTCAGAAATGAGTCCAATATTGAAATTGAAGATAATTAGCTCCTCTTTTGTGAGCTTAGTTGGTATATTTGACCATGCTTTGCTGAAATTAATATGTACAGTAACTCAGTAAGTTGCCTTCATCATTTATACAGCACTTCATAAGTGTTAAGGAACTAGTTACTAGCGTGAGGTACTGAGTTAAAAAGGAGAACTCTGGCGACCTCCAACTCATGTTTATTTTATCAAAACAGGTTGGAGGAGTGGAGACTGTTACTCTAGGAGATGATGAAGCCAGAGCTAGACGTAGCCAAAAAAGCATTCTCGAGAGGAAGGCTCCACCAACATTTCCTTTCCTTATCGAGATGCGGGAGCGGAATTATTGGGTAACTCATCGGGTATGTTGCAAATTTGCTAATCATATAAAATTACTCTTTTTTGCAATTCCATTCTAATTTTTTTGTCATTTGATATGCGTTTATTCTATCAAGATTTTTGTTATGATGTTAGTTGGGTAGTTTTCTTTCTTGATGCAACATTGCAGTTCATTTGAAGAAGATGATAATAAACCCCGTAATTTTTTTTTTCATTTTTCTTCTTTTCGCTGTGCAGACGGAAAGGAGTGTAGATATGTTGCTGCATGGTAAAAAGCCACTAGTTGAGGTAAATATGCTATATATATATATATATTTCAATTAAGGTTACTCATCTCCACATTAGTTTGCTTTGCAAACTCTACAAATTTCTTATATCCTGTCATAATTCTTCGCATACGATGTATTCTGCTGACATAGTAGGAAAAGAATTGCTTATGATTTCTTTTCTCATTGTCCTGATAATTTAAAAAAAAAAATTATGTAGACACCGAGAAGTGAGACCTTAACCCTTTTTTGTCAAAATATGGCTACTGCGCTTATCAGGGAGCTAAAACATTTTCATTTCACAGGTTCGCAGAAGGGATGACCAATTTAACGTTGTGATAGAAAGATGGACCACATATGATGGAGATGGGATTTGATGGGATTCTGTTACCCAATATGTTGTAAAATGAAACAGAAGTAAAATAAAACAAATTTAGTTTCATAAGGACAGTAAAAAAAATACTCTTGCTGGGAGTATCATTCTCGCCGACTATGTTGATGATATTTTGGTGATCAGTGATGATCATCAAGGTATTGTCGATTTAAAGCAATATTTGAGTTCTCGTTTTCATATGAAGGATTAAGGTATTTTGAGGTATTTGGTTGGGATAGAGGTAGCTCGATCCGCACAGGTATCTCTTTATCTCAAATAAGTGTAAATACCTTGTTGTTTTATAAATGGGGACTTGTATCTTAGGGTCTAAACCATTTAGGGGATGCTTTTGTTGAACGTGGCTTTTGTAGATGTTTGATGGGAAAGTTCATTTGCTTAACGGTATTGTGACTAAAACAAAATTCAAGGAAAATTGGGTAAAAAGTGAAAATTTGGTGAAGATCATATCTAGGTTGCAGAGGGTTATTGCAAATTGACCAGTGTCTTTATTATTGAAACAACTCATGGGCATGCATATTGACTGAGCTTTTAATGTGACAGATTGGACGATTCTTCTTAATTTCATTTCTTCTTAGTTAATACGTACAAACTAACAGGGATATTGGTGCTAAATATTAGATGAAATGATTGAAATTAGAAATTCATGCTAGAAACTAATTCTAGCATATTAAAATAACATATGTCACAACGCATTCTTAAAAGTTGGTGATTGCATTGATCAAATATTAGGATTACGTTGATATTTTACTTATTTGCACTGATATTGTATACCAATTGTACTGATTGAAAATTATTACTCGGACATGTGTCATACTCCTCCTTCAATCTCTGTACGCGACCCCCCCCCCCCCCCCCCCCCCCCCTCCCCCCCCCCCCCCCCCGCGACAATTGCCTACGTTATTGGCGTCTCAAATTTTTTCTTCCCATAATCTCAGTAAAGGACTCAGATGACCCTTGTTGATTCTAGATGGACTCAATTAATGTCACGTCCTATCTCCTGTGATACCCTCAAAATAAATTATGCTGCGATAACTCCGTTTAACTGTGTTTATCACATACGCACGCATTTGGACGTGGAGGTATTATTAAGGGCGACATTCTGATGCTACGTTGTAAATGACAATAGTAGCTGTCTCTGGATACTATAGTTAAATCTCCATTTGCTGTTCCAGGCCTCAGAAAACTGACCCATCACCCTTTTCCATTGTTCCCCTTGTCATTAAGAGTTTTTGTCCTATTAGACGCCTAACTCTTTGTTAATTATATATTAGGCCATCTCCAATCTATTCTACCAAAATGGTGTAAATTTTACATCAAAATGGTGCAAAAGTCACATCAAACAGTAATTTATCTTTAACCCACTGTACCATTTTTTACAACAAAAAAGAATATTCTCAGTATATTCCTTTTTATCTACTTTTACATTATTATTTTCTATTCCCTATATTTTTAACAATTTCAACAATTAACCCAACATATCAAATTTTATTTTTTTCACATATTTTTTAAACAAAATGATTTATTATTTAAAAAATTAAACTAATAATATCAAATTTTATTTTTTTCACATATTTTTTAAACAAAATGATTTATTATTTAAAAAATTAAACTAATAAAACAATAAAATATTATTTTATTAATTAAAATAACTTGATTGCTAAAATATTATATTTTTATTATTGATATTGCCAAAATATTACATTTAAGAACACAACAGAAAATAAAATATAAGAAAATAATTAAACATTAACAACAATGTAAAAGTTACAAATTTAATATGCACTTAACTATCTGAATTAGTGTATTCCTCCCATAGATGATCTATCAATGCATTACGAAACGCAATATGGGCATCTTTATCCTTGATTTGTCTGTAACGTGTAATAAATTGATTAAATCTTATAGTTTTATCTGCTACAATATCAACTTCTGGTGTTGGTGCTTCCCTCACTTCTTGAATTGGTGCATAAAGATCACGTTCATCCTCAATTATCATATTGTGCATAATAATGCATGCAGTCATTATGTCATGTAATACATGTTTTTTCCAAAAACGAGTTGATCCTGCCACAATTGGCAAATCGTGATTGGAGAACTCCAAACGCACGTTCTACATCTTTTCTACATGCTTCCTGTTTCGTGGCAAAATATTTTTTCTTCCTTCCTTGTGGCTGTTAGATTGTTTGTACAATAATAGCCCATTTTGGATATATACCATCAGCTAAATAATAACTCATATTATACTCTTTTCCTTGAATAACATAGTGAGCGGGAGGAGCAATACCTTGAGCTAGATTAGAGAAAAGATTAGATGACTCTAGCACATTGATATCATTATTGGTGCCTGACATATCAAAATATGTGTGTCATATCCAAAGATCATAATCTGCTACAGCTTCAAAGATAATAGTTGGTGACCCACTACATTCTGCGTATTGCCCAGACTATGTCATTGGATAATTTTTCCATTTCCAATACATATAATTAAGACTTCCTAATATTCCTGGAAAACTATGTTTTTTTTACCAATATAGAGTAGCCTAGTAATATCATTAGTGTTAGGTGTTCGTAGATACCGCTCTGCGAATATCTCCACCATAGCACGACAAAATTTTGTCATACTTTTAATTGCTGTTGACTCACCTATTTTAACATATTCGTCCTTAGCATCAGCTGGTAGACCGTATGCCAACATGCGAAAAACAACTGTTACTTTCTGTAACAGTGATAATCCCATTCTACCAAGTCCATCACTTCGTTGTTGGAAGTGATAGTCATCATCTTTCATTGCATCAACAATACGAAGGAACAAACTTTGTGACATCTGATATCGATGATCTATGACCAAATTCTGATGCGCAGTTTCTCGATCGCGGTTGATCACTGCATGACCGGGAATCAAGCCACCATGGATCGGTTGGTAGTTTTGTTGACGTAAATTGTTAGCGAGGATCATGTTGTTGTTAATGTACTCACGAATTACTTCTTCAGTTTCATCAATCTCTGCAATAATATTTTTTTTAAAAATTATCATCATCCGAAGATGATGATAAATATGATGGACCTCCAGCATCGAAATTCATTTTTGAGTAAAAAAAGAATGACTGAAGTATGCAGAAATGAAGAATAATAATTTTAACACAACAATGAGTAATTGTGTGGAGGTACCTAATCTAGTATGCTATTTATAAAAATTTCCTTAGCTGTATACGTTGAACAATATGTAAAGCTGAGCTGATTTCAGGAAATGATTTCCAGCTGTTATCAATTTGTCACAAAATTCAAATTTGCTATTTCAGGAAATGATTTCCAGCTGTTATCAATTTGTCACAAAATTCAAATTTGCTTAGCTGTATACGTTGGACAATGTGTAAAGCTGAGCTGATTTCAAAAAATGATTCTCATTCATATAAATTTGTCACAAAATTCAAATTTGCTTAGCTGTATACGTTGGACAATGTGTAAAGCTGAGCTGATTTTAGAAATGATTCTCACTCATATAAAGTTTTCACACAATTCAATGATTGCTTAGTTGTATATGTTGAAAGATGATGATAAAGCTGATCAGTTTTAGAAAATGATTCTCACTCATATAAAGTTTTTACACAATTCAATGAATACTTAGCTGTATATGTTGGAAGATGATGATAAAGCTGATCAGTTTGTACACAACGATTCAATTTTAAATGTTGATCACCAACAAATTCAAATTCAAATTAAAAAAACAAATTTGAATTGGCTATAAATAACATTCATGAATTCTACTTCAAACCACTCAATTCGAAGTATTTCTTAAAAGTATTTCCAATCTTCAAACCAATCGTTTTTTACAAAAAAAAAATGTATGTTCGATCATCTGGATACACAGTCACTGAAGATGTGCTCCTTTGTCAAGTATTCATGGATATTTCTCAAGACCCTATTATCGGTAGAAATTAGTCTCGAGATGCATTTTGGTCTCGTGTGGAGGACAAATACAATGAACTTTGAGATCAGCATTTTGAGGTTCGTACGAGCCGATCAGTTCGTTCTCGAATGGAAATCATAAGTAATAAAGTAATGAAATTGAATGAGTGCTTAAGACAAGTAGAAAATCTGAATCCAAATGGTGCTTCAGATGAAGATATTGTAAGTATTCTATTAATTATATTTTGAAATTTATTATTATTGTTAAAATACATAACTTGATGTTCACTATAATTTGCAGTTAGTTCGAGTAAAGATGTTATTTATGCAAGAACCAAAGTACAAAAAAAAGTTTCAAATTTGATCATGTCTGGAATATGGTTAACAATTTTGAAAAATTTAAAGATGATGTCCCCACAGCAAGACAAGTTGATCGAAGACAACCCCAAAGTGTGAACTTCGACTCATCACAATCAGATAATCCCACTTCGGAGTCTCCTATATCAACATCTCATGGACTGTCATCATTTACTCCACCTGAACGACCTATTAGGGTAAAAAAAGCTAAATTGAAAAAGAAAAATGATGATCATGAGTCAAGTGTAGTAGACTTCATCGACACAAGTAACAACCGACTTATAGACAGGTTAGACAAGATGAGCATGGACAAGCAAGTTCAGAAAGATCCTTGGCTGATGAGATGGCAAATAAGTCAATAGCTCAACAACATCTAAAGCCAAACGGCTCGCCCTCAAGAGAGAGAGCAACATCCGAACTCCGGGTGTTCCTTAGTTTGGCAACAAAGACAGCCAATGAAGCAGCGGCTCGCCCACATCAGAACAGGAATGTTCACAGGCAAAAATAAATAGTCAAGGAAGCTCTGCCTCGGTGACCTTGTCCCCAGCAAAAAGCCGTCTTCAAAACGCATCTAAACAAGAAATACGAATACGGTGCTGTCCGAAGTAATAAGTATGAATGAATTGTACTCTGTTATGTATAAATTTCAAACGATCAATGAAAGTGTCAAATAAAAAGAAAGACATCAAAGACCTAGTCGTCTAGGTAATGACTCATCAGTTGGTCACAAGACCCTGGCGCCGTCTCAGAACAAGCCCAATGCGCCACAACCCCTCAGTCGGTCACAAAGCTCTGGCGTAGCCTCAGGACAGGCCTAAGGCACAAGGACTCCTCAGTCGGTCACAAGACCCTGACGCCGCCTCAGGACAGGCCTAAGGCGCCACGACCCCTCAGTCGGTCACAAAGCCCTGGCGTTGCCTCAGGATAGGCCCAAGGCACAACGAATCCTCAGTCGGTATCAAGACCTTAGTACCTTCTCAGGGTAAAACCAAGGCACAATGACTCCTCAATTGGTCACGAGACTCTGGCGCCGCATCAGGACAGGCCCAAGGCACCACGATCCCTCAGTCGGTCACAAAGCCCTAGCGTCACCTCAGGACAGGCCCAAGGCACAACGACTCCTCAGTCGGTATCAAGACCTTGGTACCTTCTTAGGGTAAAACCAAGGCACAACGACTCCTCGGTCGGTCACAAGATCCTAGCGTCGCCTCAGGACAGGCCCAAGGTGTCACAACCCCTCAGTCAATCGCAAAGCCCTGGCCCCACCTCAGGATAGGCCCAAGGTACAACGACTCCTCAGTCAGTATCAAGACCTTGGTACCTTCTCAGGGTAAAACCAAGACACAACGACTCCTCAGTCTGTCATAAGACCCTAGCATCGCCTAAGGACAGGCCCAAGGTGCCACGACCCCTCAGTCGGTCATAAAGCCTTAGCGCCGCCTTAGGACAGGCCAAAGGCACAACGACTCCTCAGTCGGTATCAAGACCTTGGTACATTCTCAGGGTAAAACCAAGGCACAACGACTCTTCAGTCAGTCACAAGACCCTGGCGCCGCCTAAGGACAAGCCCAAGGCGCCACGACCCTTCAGTCGATCATAAAGCCTTGGCGCCGCCTCAGGACAGGCCCAAGGTACAATGACTCCTCAGTCGATATCAAGACCTTGGTACCTTCTCAGGGTAAAACCAAGGCACAACGACTCCTCAGTCAGTCACAAAACCCTAGAGCCACCTCAGGACAGGCCCAAGGCGTCACGACCCCTTAGTCGGTTACAAAGCTCTGGCACCGCCTCAGGATAGGCCTAAGGCACAACGACTCCTCAGTCGGTATCAAGACCTTTGTGCCTTATCAAGGTAAAACTAAGGCACAACGACTCCTCAGTCGGTATCAAGACCTTGGTACCTTCTCAGGGTAAAACCAAGGCATAACGACTCCTCAGTCGGTATCAAGACATTGGTACCTTCTCAGGGTAAAACCAAGGCACAACGACTCCTTAGTCGGTATCAAGACCTTGGTACCTTCTTAGGGTAAAACCAAGGTACAATGACTCCTCGGTCGGAACAAAGCCCTTGAATCTTCTTAAAGGTAAGCCTAAGGCACAACATATGGTTCGATTCCTTCTGCTCTCATCGTCTATAGTGGTCAAGACCTTGGTACCTTCTCAGGGTAAAACCAAGGCACAACGACTCCTCAGTCGGAACAAAGCCATTGACTCTTCTTAAAGGTAAGCCCAAGGCACAACATATAGTTCGATTCCTTATGTTCTCATCGTCCATAGTGGTCAAGACCTTGGTACCTTCTCAGGGTAAAACCAAGGCACAATGACTCCTTAGTCGGAACAAAGCCATTGGCTCTTCTTAAAGGTAAGCCCAAGACACAACATATCGTCCATAGTGGTTAATACCTTGGTACCTTCTTAGGGTAAAGCCATGGCACAATGACTTCTCAGTCGGCACAAAGCCCTTGGCTCTTCCTAAAGAATAAGTACAAGGCAAAACGACTTCTCAGTCGGCACAAAGCCCTTGGCTCTTCCTAAAGAATAAGTCCAAGGCAAAATGACTTCTCAGTCAGAATAAAGTCATTGTCTCTTCTTAAAGAATAAAACCAAGGTATAATGACTTCTCAGTCGGCATAAACCCCTTGACTCTTCCTAAAGAATAAGTCTAAGGTAAAACGACTTCTCAGTCGGAACAAAGACCTTGGATCTTCTTAAAGAATAAAACCAAGGCACAACGACTTCTCAGTCGGCACAAAACCCTTGGCTCTTCCTAAAGAATAAGTCCAAAGAAAAATGACTTATTAGTCGGAACAAAACCCTTGGCTCTTCCTAAAGAATAAGTCCAAGGCAAAACGACTTTTCAGTCGACACAAAGCCCTTGGATCTTTATCTAGGAATCAACCATGGCACAATGACTTCCTAGTCGGTTCCAAAGGACTTGACTCCCCATCAGGAGTAGCCTAAAGTACAAAGACCCCACAAGTCGGCAATCAGATCCATGGTTCCCCACCTAGACAAACCAAAGACAACCTCAGAGTCAACTTTTATAAGTTATTTTCCGACCAAACGGGAAAAACAAAGATGTCACCTCTTATCCCGCATATGATATCTAATCTACAAGAACCAATACTCTTCTCAAAAAGAAAAATGGAGCCACAACATGATCAACTGTTCTATCAAGCATTTGCAGTTCTCAAAAGCAGAAGACTAAAGAAATCGCTTCTCATTCAGAAAGGAGTTTTGTATATTTTTTACCAAAAGGCCCAACAGAGCTTACACAAAAAACAACACTTGAAAACTCCCTTCTAAACCTCAGAACCATCGCCACCAAAGTCCTTCCTCATTTTCTTTAAAGGCCTTCCAGAAGAACTCGGCTCCTCCGAGTCCGGCTCTCTTTTACAGACCTCCATTGGTGGAGGAAGAACTGTCGCTTCAGAGTTAGAGGAAGATGAGCAGGACCCTCCCATCTCCTGGAATTCCTCTCCGTCCAGAGCTCTGGACTCCTGAAGACCAAGGTGATGCCGGAGCTTCTCAACATCTCCAACCTCGAGGTCACTAAGAGCCCTCGGCTCCAATACTCTCTCCTGCACTTCAGGCCAACCTGAGTAGGACAGTATGTCATCGGCACCGAACACCCAGACATAGAACTTCTTCCATTCTTCATTCAGCCCAGGGAAATCGACGTCCAATCGGAAATTGCCCCGAAAGTGGAAAAGATAGTGCGGGTCTCCCTCAATAGACCCCACACTAACCATGTGCCCAAGCAAACTAATGCTGGGCCGCACTTCCGCCTCGGAGCAAGAGTCTATGAACGTCATCAAAG